GGCGGCGGGGACGGGAGGAGAAAGGCGTGGGATGGCAGTATTTTATGTAACAGGACTTACCAGCTAAGCCGGGTTGGGCGTTGTGTGCGCCCGTACCCGGCCTGGGAGGTCACGGGAGTACATATAACTATACGGAATAGGCAAGGTATACATACCGCTAAGAGGATGCCTTCAATTTCCTATGGAGTATGGGGGTTTAATTAGTTAGTTAGTAGTTTCCGTTTTCGTTAAGCAATGACCAATGGTGCCCGATGCATATTAAATTTGACCTAGAGGATCGGTGCCCAATGGGAGTTTATGGTGTTGGAATTGGTCTAATGGTCTTCACCCCGTATTTGCGTGTTTTTGGCTTATCCTTAGGCGTGTACTTTGTACGCTCCAAGGTCGGATGAATGACTACTCTACCAAACTCCCTGCACGGAGCACCGGCATAATTCAATTGTGCCGAATGTGCGAGAGGCAAACTGGCAAGCAGAGAATAGACGATGTGATGACCAGGATGATGGGGTTCATGACTCGTGGGAGTGACCATCCCGGGAAGAGTCAAGAGGCCTCTTAGCGCCCATGCAATATGGATGCACGTTCGCACCCTTTTGTCCATGTTCCAGATTCCCAATGGACCAGAATCTCTTCCTGCGTACTCCGTACGGAGTAGGGGCAACGGAGCACTAGGCTCCCTTCTTTGGTCTTTGATCCGTCTCGGAAAGTGAAAAGTGAAGTACGGAGTACGGATAGTACTAAAAAATCCCGTCTTGTCTCCGAATCAACCAACTCATCAAAGGTCCAATCCCGATGGGAATTCTTCCTACGGGATTGCTACTCTGCTAGAGATCCCGTGGACGGCTAGGTTTATTTTTTTTTTGGTCTCTGTTTATTTTTAAACGACCACGTCGTTATCGTTGCCGACCGCCACTTCAAGTTACTCCGCAGTCTGTTTCTGTTTTTCTCAAGTCGCGTCGCTAGGCAATCCGTAAGGGAGACTAACTAACTTGACAGTTAACCGTCCCAAGGGTTACATGATCATCGGAGGACCTTGCTCCGCATGAATTTGCGCGGTTTTCGCTCAGCTGATTCGAGTGTCTTGTCTGTATGGAATTCTGCTAGAGTTCGGATGGAACGCGTTGCAGTGTGGATGGATGCTGGCGGTGCGGAGTATACGTTGGTCGCGCGCTTGAGCGTACAGCGTGCAGTGTCCATGCAGTGTCCTTGGCTCCTTGCCAACTCCGGAGGAGGCTAGGAGTACTTCGTGTGCCTCGGGGTAATCACGGCCGTGTGAGCGGCTCGCTTGGATCTACCGGTCAACAGTATGTAAATAAATAAAAGGTAAATATACTAAACTGTCACCATTGGGCCTTTTTGCGGATAGACTTTTGTTCCATTGGCGGATTGGACTCGGAGACTTTGAACGAAGTTCGAATTCCAGAGCAATGCCTCTTCTAGAAGCGAGTGCTCACTGGTTGTAGAGGAATAGATCGAGGCTCGTTTTCCTGGGACGGAGGATTCCCGGAGAAACCGCGCGTATCGACCGACGTATTGCCGTATTCAGGATTCACGTGGAAACGCCGGAGCGTAAGTAAGCTCGGTATTCTATATTTCACCGCTGGTATCGGTATATACGATACTAGAACTTATTAATAGGTCTGGCTAGCACTCTGCTAGGCCAAAAAGTAGTCGGTTTCAGAGAGTGTTTGAGGCGTGAGTACTCCCAAGTTGAGGCCTAATGGTGGTTTGTGCCTGTTGCTGCCTACAGAGTACGGAGTCCTGTTCAGGACTCAGAAATCAGCGTAAGGCGGTACTTTTAGACGCGGCGAAAATCTCGACAGGTCTGCTGACTCGTACTTGTGCCGATGTCGATCGCGGACTCTTCCTTTAGTCATCTCTCCGTCCTTTCCCCTCCTGAACATTTTCGTTTGGTGGATCGAGGTTGCATTCCCGGCAGTCCTCGGGGCGCCCGCAAATCACGGCCGACGAAAGCAAAGCCCTGTGCGTCGGGAGGGGAAATTGGGAAAGGGCTGCGCGGGGAGACGCTGATTTGGTGGGGAAGTTGGAAAACTTCGCCCTTAGCGACTTAGTCTCTTAGCGAGAAAAAGCCTGGAAGGGGCTATTCTCTCTTCCCTTCCCCCCCTCCCTGGCTATCTTCTCCCTGGACCTGTTTGTCTCTTAACATGTCCTGGTATTAAATGCTCTAAGCGCGCCCGGCTATATTCCGCCTGGTTGCTGACCGGCAAATATAGATCGATGGATAAGATTGAAATGCATGGCGTAGCATCGTCGGTTCTACTAACTCCGCCAGATACTCGGTGGAGGCCTATAAGCGTTGGTCGGTTTGATGAACTCCGGCGGGATCTTTCGTTAGATTGAATTTTTGGTTTGGTTTCGTATCGATGCCCTCGATTACATACCGAGATACTTCTCTAGGAGATGCCATGATATCCGTGCGTGCAATGAAATCATAATGCGGCAATGCTTAGAGCTTCCCCATCGGACAGGGACCAACACGAAGGCGCAACGATTGTGCATCAAGCCATCAAGCCATGTCCCGGCTGGATTGCATCTGCAGGTCGGAGCGACCGATGAGAAAACGAATCGGAGGGAAGCATGCAGAGCCAATCGTCGTGTGCCTAGGCAGATAGGTAGTAAGCATTATGATAGCATCGCATCGACCGGACCCATGAAATCGGAGGTCTAGCCCCTGGCAACACAGGAGAAAGTATCCGAGGTGTGGAGGATAACTCTGCTGGTGGAGGGGGAGGAAGAGCTTCACGGTTGCCCCAACCACGCGTCGCAGAAACGAGCTGGACGGAGTCGGGGCCTCAACTTTTCATTTCGAATCGCAACGTCGATTGGTGGCCTTGATTGTGGACGTTGTCATGACCTGGTTGACTTGCGTCAACTCGAATCCTGCAGGAGACAATGGATGATCTATAACGCGGACATGATGAACCAGGGCTGGGAGGGTATCAGATAGGGTTGCGCAATTGAAAGGGGCAAGCAAACCTTAGACAGCTTGATCCAGACGAGTGTGAAGTCAGAAATGGCCGGTAAATTCCCCGGATGGGGTCCGGCCGTGATATCATCCATGTCAAGCTGTCACTCCCCGGCCAAGCCCTAATTATAGAAGAACGCCCCTCACGTGTTTGTTCAAGTATCCATTATTCATCCTTTCTGTGAACTGACCTCGTCTCTTGCATCTGCCCGTCCGACTCCCGACGCTCACTGTCGATCCCAAGGTCACCAGATCTCTGCGTTGGCAGTTCGATCACACTGTGACTTCATCTTGTCCCTGCTTCTTGCTTCGGAACCAGGACAGGACCGTTGACAAGTCATCAACCTTTATGATCATTCATTATTATTTCCCTTTGACGATGATTCCGCCGATCTCTAAAATTCCCGTTTCAAGGTCCAGATGGAAACAGAACGGACCTTTTCTCCAACCGTCCGGATGCGTGATTCCTGCTCGGAGGGGGCTTGAGAATAAGGGAGGCTTGCAGTAGCGCACCAGCCCGACGGTCTGGATAGGATGGATGAACAAGACACTTGACGTTATCAGTTGCTCTGAGACGTTTGTTCTCGACAGATCGATTCCACCCCTCGACGCCTCTCTGACTGGTATACTTTCCTTTGCTTTTCTGAATTTTCTACACCACACCATCGTATCATGAGTCTCTACCTACCCCCCTCCCTATACAGGCAAAGAGTGAAACAAGAATAAAAAGAAGAAAAACAGAAAGCCCCAAAAGAAAATACAAAACGTCAATTCGCATCAATGTGGCTTGCAGGGCAGTTGCTTCGTATTCAAGGCCTGGACCAGGTAGGTCTTTGTCGATCGGCGCCTTGACGCATGTCTTGCTTTCTTTTGTGCTCCATGGTGGTGTGATAATCGATGAACTCTACTAAGAACCTAGTAAATTCCAAACCTTGATGTTGCAGGGTTGCCTTCTTTCCCTCCCTCCTCTCCTGCTTCTGGTTTGTCGCTCGCCTTCCCTGCTCCCCGTCCGCCTCCCTGCTTGTCTTTCCTTCTTTCATGTTTCCCCATGAATCTGACAGAAATCTCTTCCTGGTCACACGCACCGAACCTCCCCACCTCCATGGCGTTCTTATCTCGACACGACATGGGTCTATTTTCCGTTGATGAGTTGTCCAGACTCTCAACGCTCAGCCTCAGATAAAAAGAAATGTGAGACAGGGAAAAGTACCGTCATGTTTTGTCGAGATGTTGTCCACTGGTCTTTGAATTCCCCGTCGACATGGTCGGGTCAAGTGCCGCAGTAGTATGTACCTTAAGGATGGATGGGCTTCTCTCGTGTAAGCCCGCATGTACTTTTGAAGGAGATCTTATCGCAGATGATGTGGTTTTGTTACATTACTGAGGTGGTGTACCTAGTTCTAGATCGGTGAATGATGGTATGATGCCTAGGTCTGCTGGTATGTCCAATTCCTCCTTTAGGGGTCTGTTCAATTGGAACGAAGGGCAGAGACGGGATTTACAGTGAATTAGCGTCAAGTAAGTAATAGCTATCTATTGACGATTGTATTAAGAGACGAAAAGCATTGTTGTTCGTCAAGCATGCCTACTTACTGGGTATATATGGATCCGCTAAGGTATTAACGGAGTTTGATGATCCCATACACAATGGTATTCTATACCCTCTGAGGTTGACTATAGCTATATGTCAAATCTCGAATACAAGCATAAACAGTCTCTCCAAGATCTATGAAGTGTTTCCAAGAGACATTGTGTATCAACTGCTGTAAGATTCTATCTAAATCATATCCCACAGTAAATGCTTTAGTGGGTTTGTGACGTGCAAGGCACTATCCCGAAAAGACGACAAAAGTACATTCATTAAACAATGGAGCGTATAGAATTCTTTTAGAAAGTGACGCCCATACAGGCGCGGTTTTGATTAATTATTCAAAACGTATTATGTTATACAGGAAATGAATTAAAATCTAAACACCATGAACTGCATCAACACATAATTCCGACGTCCTCTAAGCTAAAGGGATCGCCGCTCCCATCCGATCTTGACGCCCTTCACAGGTCCAGAAAAGAGAGACGAGTAGTCGGTTTCTGGAACCCCTTTCCGACCATCCACATTGAACAGCTTGATGTTGCGCACGAGCGTCGCCACAATGACCGCGAGATTGAGGTACGCGAACTTCTCACCAATGCAGCGGTGACGGCCAGCGCCGAAAGGAAGATACGGACTCGCTGTTCCCTTAGAGACCTTGCCATAGCCGTAGTCGACTACCTCTCCGCCGTCTTCTTCCTTGTCCTGGTGATCGTCCCAGCGGTGTGGGTCCCATTTGTGTGCGTTGGGGAAGTGCTCGTCGCTCATGGCTGTCATGATAGGGGATGCAAGGAGCACGTGGTCGGTGGGGATGACATATGAAGTTCCAGGGACGGGAAGGGGGTTCTTGACCTGTCGCATAATGGAGTGGATGGAAGAGTTCATGCGGAGGGTTTCTCGGATGACGCTTTGAAGGAGAGGTAGTTGATCCAAATGCGTGAACTCGAGAGGAGGCAGGTCGGTCGAGCCGTGACCGATGTTGGTGACTTGCTCCTGATACAGTTCCTCGAGGACGTCCGGTTCCGAAGCCAATCGATGCATAATCCAAGAGCTAATGGACGACGACGAGTGTTGGCCGGCCATAAGTAATGTGATCATCATGTGGGCAATTTCCTTGTCTGGCACCGGGGTTCCGTCTTTGTAGGTGCACTGCATGAGGTTTGCGATCATGTCCGAGCTCTCCTGGGCAGGGTTCTTGCGTCGGTTGTTGATGATATCTGTGTAGATTTCACGCATACGGGCATGCGCCGCATCGCGTTTCCGATTTTGCGGTAATGGAGCCCAAGGAAGCATAAAGTTGATGGGGGTAAAGCCTTTATCGAGGTCATGATACAGCTCAGCAAACTCCGCTGTGAGCTTCTGGCGCACTTCCGGGCCTTGGAGTGCACTGCCCGCGGTAAAGATAGTAATCTCCGCCATAGCTGCTGAAATGTCGACCACCCCAGAGGGACCCTTGAACTTTGGCGATGTCTTGAGGAAATCCAAAACTTCCTTCTCGATCAGGTAGACGTGTGACTCCAGCGCCTTCTGTGTGAGGCCGAATTTCATGAACTTCTTTTGTTCCATGAGCTTGGAGTTGGGGCAGTCGTACACGACATCGGACCCGAAGACAGGCGTGGTAAGAGGACTATACACCTCCTCGGCGTTCACATCTTTCAGCTTGCCATTGAGGATGAAGTCGTTACCCTGGACTCCCAAATACACGGTTGTCTTCTTCCCTAGCAGCACAAAGGTAAAGATGTCGCCATACTGTTCGAGGCTGCGCATTAGTACGTCATTCTATTAGGCTATGTTTCTTCTCATACCTTTTGTTGACAAGACAGAAAGAAAGAGTACGGTTGCATTCCATAGCTAATGGTATTCCCTAGAAAAGGCAACCAGTGGAAAACAACAGGTGGCTTGGACTTGTCATGGAGGAGCAGCTGGCGTGCGAGGTTCAACACAATTAAGGCCAACGCGCTCACGGCGGCATAAGCAGATGCCTGAGCAAGAGACAACATCGTGGCGAATCCCTCCAGCTTACGGTAGCAGGGAAGAATATGGGTTTGACCGGGTGCGAATTTATAAAGGAGCCCCTATAGCTTCGTCGCTACCGGAGAACTGCAGGCATCTTTATTTCTCCTTGACCTTGCCATACGGAGTACATCAGCACTGCCCCTTTGGACAATCGGAGCTTTTCCAATTTCGCTGACACCACCCAGACCCCCCCAGCCAACAGCCAGAGGAAGGGGGAAGCTTGGCGCTAGCGAGTTACGATCCGAATCGGACCACCGTGGACGTCGACAAAAGAGCCAAGGAGCGTGTGGTGGTAGATATAAAACCAGGGGCCGATTTCATTCCTCCCGGTCCGTAGTGTTGTCCCTAGCGTGATGATCAGTCCAAATACGATCAGTCGTATTCGATGCATCACTAATCACACATGGTCATTGGCATCTCTGGGCACTTGGGGCTCATTGGCTGCTGAGATGTAAAGACTAAAGATCCAAATGCTTTGGTTCGGTGGATGAGTCATGCCTTGACTCTTGAGTTGCCAACCACCGAATGAGACAGATTGACAGAGAAGAAGTGCAAAGAACTGGGGCTGAGGAGTCATCGTGACTCCAAGTGAATCATTTCGCTTTGTTTTGCCTCCACCAGAGAACGCCATGCCGGTTTGGGGATAGCGGCAGTCAGGTAGCTGAATCAGCAGATCAACGTCTGTACTTTAAGTTAATCATATCAAACACTGTCCATCTATATACTTTGACGCTGTGAATACCATCGCTTGCTGCTTCAACAGCTAGCTACCTTTGCATCTTCTTTGCCCCTCTGAGTATCTCCAGTTGCATGACCCCACCCCTCTCTTCTATCATCCCAGGCAGCATGAGCAGTCCCAACGCCCCCGCGGGTCAGAGACCCCTCTCCAAAGCTGAAAATGCAAATCCACGAGAGTTCCAAATAAACCAACTCAGGCGACGGTTTCATCCAACTGAGACTTCAGACGACTCCGGAACAACTTTCACATTTGGTCTAGCGCCGTCGGATCCCGATTTTCCTTTTGACCTAGACAAACTCCAATGTGCGCTGCATGTTCCAACGTCATACCCGTCTGGCAGAAGACCCACTTTGAAAGTCGCCAATCCTGAAATGGAAAAGGCCTTTCAAGATAATGTTTCGCGAGGGTTCGATGATATTGTGGATAGCACATTGAGAACTGGCGGTCGCGGGACCTTGTTGACATGGATGAATACCCTCGATCGGCACCTGGAGCGCCTGCTCACGACGACAGAAAGAGGGCCTACGCTGAAGTTTGTTACGAATGTCAGCAACACCAAACCGAGTGAAACCCCGGCGACCCAAGAGATAGCGGGGAGATTGCAGTCCCTGCCTGTCCCTCTTGAGGGAGACCGTAAGGTCACCGCCACGGCTCCTAAGTCTAAACCACCAGCTCCGGTGTTTTCCGCCGAGGAAAAAGCACAAGCCGCGAAAAGGCGGGCTGTAGAGACGAAACAGATTGAAGCGCGTCTTGGTCGGTTACCGCTATTCCAGAAGTCGAAAGACGAGCTTTCGTTTGTTATCCCCATTCAGCCGCCGAAGGTCGAGCGACTTCCGCCTGCCCTGCGGTCTGTCAAAACTGTGAAGCTATTGGTTCCGAGTTTGTATCCTCTTGAGCCCAGTGCTGTGGAGCTGCGAGGCGTCGATAGCATAGAGGCACGGGCGGTGGAAGCAGGCTTTGCGCAATGGGTCGCCAAAAATTCGAATCTCAACTTAATGTCCCAGGTCAATTATTTGACGAGCAACATGCACAACTTTGCGAAAACACCTCTGGAAGAAGCATCTGATTTGGCCGCAGCGGTGCCGGGACTCGCGGAGCCAGAAATCAAGGAAGAAGCACCTACCATTGAAAACGTTCAATTGGGAGATAAACCTCATGTTCACGTTGTACCTCGGCCACCCGAGTGGTCTGTGAGGGAAGGTGGTGATAACAGCGGAGATACGGATGTGTCTACATCGGAAGAATACTCCTCAGATGAGGAAGACGAAGATGGCGGAGCACCGGTTCCGAATTTCCCAGAGCCCACTCCGGAACGTGGCGTTGCGATCTCTTTCCCCTTCATTGAACTCTACGGAATCGAGCTACTAGATCTGGTGGGACTTTCAGTCACCGTTAAGTGCGAAAGATGCAAAGAGCAGTTAGATGTGAAGCATGTGCCACAGGTCAAAGACAAAAGTGACACTCTATCGCCGAAAGTCGAATCCTGCAAGAAATGCGCGAATACGATGAGCTTGGGTATGTTATTCTCCCCGTCAACGACATTCTATTCATCCAAGAGCTAACCTTCATCGTAGGATTCCGCCGTCAGTTGATACATTCACACTCAAACCGTGCTGGATACCTTGACTTGGATGGCTGCATAATTGACGATCTGCTTCCTAGGTGGGTTATTGTGCAGCTTCAGCATTCCTTTGATGATCAAAAACGACAGTATCTGACGTCCCAACAGTAGCTTTATTCCTACCTGCGCGGAATGCTCAACTTCTTTCCCTGCGCCTGGCGTTGTGGCTGTTCGTGGTGAAAACGCAATGGCTGCATGTCGGCAATGCCATCGGAAGATGGGTAAGGATCTGCTTTTGCACACCTTCAGCTTGATGCTAATTGTATCTAGTTTTCAAACTCCCCGAAGTCAGGTTCCTGAGAGTAGGAACTGCTGCATGTGAGTCTGCCTATGATGAAGCTCGCGTGTCAGATTGGAAATTCTAACGCCATTGTCCTAGTCACCTCTCGAGACCAAGCTCCACAGCGAAAGAAGGTATGCGATTTTATCCAAGGGTGGAACGCCCGTGTTAATTATGCTACAGCCTAAGGAGGTTCTCGGTATTGTCGCTGGCCAGGAACTCCCTCGTCGTGGTCGTTGCATGCATTATGGCAAAAGCTATCGCTGGTTCAGATTCAGCTGCTGCACGAAAGTGTTCCCTTGTGATAAGTAAGTCAAGCTGGCCTCTTGAGCTTCAGAGAGGCGGAAAGCGCAATGGTTTATGGTTGTCGGCTGTGCAATGCTAATCCGATTAGATGCCACGATGCAGCCGAAGATCACCCTAATGAGCACGCAAACCGCATGATTTGGTAAGAATAACAACTACCTTTTTTCTCTCAACTTCTGACATGTTTTTGTAGTGGTTTCTGCTCGCGGGAGCAAATCTATCGACCCGAGGACTGCGGAATATGCCGTGCGGTTCTCGTAGGCAAGGCTGGCAGTGGCTTCTGGGAGGGAGGCAAGGGTACTCGCAACAGAGCCTTGATGAGTCGCAAAGGTATGTATAAGCTGTGATAGGGCTTAATGCATGCTAATTATTTCAGATCCACGGAAGTTCAAGCGTCGTCCAGGCTCGACCCCAGGAGGCGCATCGAAGAAGAAGTAATCATTACACACGGATTAGCCGAATCTCAAGAATAAGCAATTTCTTAGTGGTGATGGCCCATAGATTCAAATGAAATAACATTGACATTATCAACGCTACGAATTACAAGACGTGCTGTACAGGTAACAAAAAGCAAGCCAAATGCATGGTCATATACATCGTCCATTTTAATTCCACACATCCAGACTAGATCAAGTTTCCACGGAGCTCCTGCTCCCGCTCAATCGCCTCGAACAACGACTTGAAGTTCCCGGCTCCGAAGCCGGAGAAGTTGTGTCGCTGGATAATTTCGATGAAAACGGTAGGGCGATCCATCAAATGCTGCATACATCCATTAGCTCACAATTCAAAGACCGGAGTTGACCCAACATCAAACATACCTTGGTGAACAACTGCAACAAATACCCCCCCTCGTCGAAATCGATCAGAATATCCAAACTACGGATCGTCTCAAAGTCCTCGTGCAGCGACAGGCCGGCCTTCTTCAGCCGGATCTTCATGTCCTCGTAATACGTGTCGGGCACCTTGATGAACTCCACACCCCGGGCCTTCAGGTTGGTGATGTCGCGGATGATATCGTCGGTCAGGAGAGCAATGTGTTGCACACCGGCGCCGTTGTAGAAGTCAACGTACTCCTCGATCTGTGACTGCTTCTTGCCCTTGGCGGGCTCGTTGATGGGCATTTTGACGACCTCGTTAGGTGATGCCATCACGATACTTTTGAGTGCGGAAAACTCGCTTTGTTTTGTTAGAGATTCTCTGAATCAACTGACAGTATTTGAGAGGACTTACGTGCAGATGTCCTTGTCATCGACGGACCAGAAGCGATGGAATCCAAGAGCCTTTTCATAGCTGTGGATCTGTTAGCTCAAGCTGCATCATAGCAGAAGGGTGATGTGATGTAACATACTACTCGCAAATCTTATCCATCTCATCCCAGTTCTGGTTTCCAACACAATGATCGATCCGAATCAAGCCCACGTCCGGCAACATACGCGAGATCGGATCCACCTCGTCCAAGATCTTATAACCCGGCAGGAAAAGGCCGCGGTAGGCACTGCGCTCTAGCAGCGTATGCGTCGTCTGTCCATAGGTCTGGATCTGCGCCAGCTTGACCTCACCATCGTCGTCCTGCAGCACGCGAGGAGAGAAGACGGCCTTGGCGCCGTTGCTCACAGCGGCGTCGAAGACCGCATCTACGGAATCCACCTCGAAGGCAACATCCTTGACTCCGTCGCCGTGCTGCTCGAGATGCTGATGGATCTCTCTCAGCTCCTCCTGCTCCGAGGGCGAGAACCGGTCGATCTGGTCCTGAGAGCGGAGTGGCGAGGTCAGGATGAAAGTGATGTCCCCGTTGCGGATGACATGCGAGCAGATGGCACGGCTGCCGGTTTCGAGGCCGCGATAGGCAATGCGTCGGAAGCCCATGCGCGTGATGTAGTACGTCGCGGCTTGTTTGGCATTGCCGACGTACCACTGGACGTGGTCATAGCCCTTGTAGCTAGCTAGACTGTTGTCGATGGCAGGAGTCCTGTTTGTAGGGGGTGGCGAGACGGCTGTGGGGGCCATGATGAGGAATGGTACAAGCTTAGAGATAAGATAGAGTTGTCTTCAGGGGTATATTCACGATAGAAGAATGTGATTGTATTCTTAAACACTTAGCATTTCTGTAGAGAAGAATCAAGAGGAAAGCGAGATAGAGGACATATATAGCTTCTGGATCTAACATGACGAGTAACATCGATCTATTAGAAATCCCGGCTGACGCTGACACGGGTATCTCCTGTAGATCCATGGGAGCCCCAGCCCCAAACAACGAACTACCCGGCGGATGACAATAATAATGAAGCCATTGGGGGAGGCGACGGGTGGGAGCGGATGTTGGCAGGCAACCGACGGCTGGACGCGGGTATTTCGCAAACACCCGCCCAGTTCTGAGATCATAAACTCCCGTGCTTTGCCTTCGTATCGCCATCGGATATTTCCTGCAGGATCCTCTGCAGCTAGTGTTATTTTATATGCTCCGATACACTCACTCCCTTCCTCGAACTCTACACATCCATCCCATCCCAGCCAAAATGACCACCATCCAGCCGTCTCGTCCGTCTCTCACCTCCAACGACTCCGCCATCCTCCAGGCTCTCTTTGACGCCGAATCCTCTCCCTCGGCGGCCGTCACCATCGATCCTTCTCTACCTGCTTACCCAGCCCACCTGAACCTCCCAGATCCGGACTCAGAGGCATTCGAAACTCTCAAACAGCGCGAACTCTCCATCGTCCACTCTCTCATACAATCTCCTACCTCCACATCCACCACCACTCTGCCATCCCAAACCATCCACTCAGCCATCAACGCCCTCGATGCCCTCATCACCAAATATCCCACCTATCCATCCGCCTACGTCAATCGCGCACAAGCTCTCCGAACCCTAATCGACCACCAATCTACTCCCTCCTCTGCCTCTACACCAGAAGAAGACGAGACCTCTTCAACCCTCTTCTCCCCCCTAAACGTCCACCCCACAACAACCCTCTTCAACGACCTCACCCAAGCAATCACCCTCTCTACGCCCCTCTCCCCCGCAGACCCGGTCTCATCCACACAGGCGCGTATCCTCGCAGACGCGCACACTCATCGCGGATACTTGCTTCTCCGCGCAGCGCGGTGGAAGCGCACGTATCCGGACAGCGACTCAGGGCCCGCGAAGCTTCAGGGCGTTGAACCCGATCAGCTGGAGGAGATGGCGAGTCACGATTTCTTTTTAGGAGGACGGTTCGGGAATAAAGTTGCGCAGCAGATGGCGGTGCAGACGAATCCGTATGCGAAGATGTGTGGGGCGATTGTGAAGGAGGCGTTGAGGAAGGAGATGAAGGGTGGGGAGGTTTGAATTATGGGATTGAGGTTGAGTTGATTGGGGTGGATATTTCTGTGTATTTTAGCGTATAGTTGATGGTGTTGGATGCTTTTGTTTAGTGGCTGGTTTGGAATAGATGTTTCAGGGAGATAGGGTTAGCATGTTCATATGATACAATGGGAATAGGAACAGACAGTCTTCCCTCTAGCATGCAAGCGCTATCAATTGGTTTAAGTCCTTTTGCTTTCACAGTTGATAGTTGTGAATATGAGTTCTGGCGTAAGGTACGAGATGCATCGAGTCTGTCGATAGATGGGCATGATCTGGGTACCCATCAAGTATAGAGAAGACAGCCAGGAACATGCATATATGCATATTGGTGGACAATTATCCTCTGACAAAGGTACAACCACTGAAGATGCCTCATAATTTGTTCAAACAACGCAATGGATCAAATTGATATCATAAACTAACAAACCATACACCCTCAAGCCTTGTTCGGATTCTGGAAATGTCTCTTCAACGGCCGCCAACTATGTTCATTATATTCCTCCTGCACCTTCTGACACGTCTTGAGTCCCCATTCCGACACGCCCACCATCAATGAACTGTTCCAGTTAGCCTGCATCAAACACCTCCCTTGAAAAGAAGACGTACCTTTCAAACATGAATGCCATACTCCCATCGCCCACTTTCTGCGGCTTCAACTCCGCATTACTCGCCCCCTCGAATGCACCCGAATCCGGACCGTGAGCACTCATCACATTATGCAGACTCGCTCCAGCAGGCTGGAACCCACCGCCTATCTTGGCATCGTAGTTCCCGGCAATCAGGCCCATGAACTCGGACATCGTGTTGCGATGGTACCATGGCGGCCGGAAGGTCTTCTCAGCCACCAGCCACCGCGGCGGGAAGATCACAAAGTCGGCGATGGCCGTGCCCTCGTGGTCAGAGGGTCCGGTGAGAACCGTGAAGATGGACGGATCGGGGTGATCGAAGGAGATCGATCCAATGGTGTTGAATCGTCCCAGGTCGTATTTGTAGGGGTAGTAATTGCCGTGCCAGGCGACGATGTCGAAGGGACTGTGGTTCTGACGTGCGGAGAACAGCGTGTTGGCGAATTTGCTGTAGAGACGGTATTCGGATTCGTCGTCCTCGAAGGATGCGACGGGGGCTTGGAAGTCGCGGGCGTTGGCGAGGCCGTTGGATCCGATGGGTCCGAGTTCGGGGAGCTGGTAGTGTCCCTGGTAGAGCTCGCAGATGTATCCGCGTACAGGACCAGAGGGGAGAGTCACACGGTATCTGGCAATGGGTGGTCAGCCTAGATGCTAAAGGAAGGAGGAAATTTATTACATACCGGACACCCCGAGGAATCACACAGATCTCGTTTGGACGAACAATCAATCGGCCCAGTTCGGTCTGGATATCCAACACCCCGTGCTGCGGCACGATCAAGAAGTCTCCGTCCGCCGAGTAGAACGCCTCCTTGCCCATATCTTTTCCCGCGGCGTACAGAAGGATCCCCAGCCCTTGTTTCAGGGTCGGATCGCCCGCTCCCGCGACGAGATGAAGACCATGTACCCAATCGACCTTCTCGTCCAGGTCGAAGGGGTTCCACCGGAGTTGGTTGGGGATGTGGTGCAGCTTGTGGGTCTCAGTCGTCATGCGCGTATGGTAAGAGTCGGATTCCTCCGCCACGAAATTCTCGTGCGACGCAGCAGGGATGATCCGATAGACCCATGTCTGTCTGTTCTCGTGACGGGGGGCTGTGAAGGCCGTGCCGGACAGTTTCTCGGCGTAGAGACCCAAGGGAGCTTTTTGGGGGGAGTTGTGCCCCACGGGGAGGGCGCCGGCGATGGCTTCCGACCTGCAAAACCAGTTAGAGCTGGACTAATGCGAAAAAATCTATAACATACTCATGGTAAGAGTCGAAGCCATTCTGGTAAGTGTAGGAGTCAGGGTGAGAGAATTCGGTGACGGGCATGATGTCTGATTCTCAGGCGGGTACGTGATTGAATGGAAGAGAGAAGGCTGGCCGGTAGATCCACGAGAGTTTCGTGCTCATTTTAAGAGACGACGCCATCGCCATCCAAGTCACGAAGGCACGGAGGTCGCGGGAATTGCAGAGCAACGGTTAAGTCGAGCTGATCTTCCGTGGCTCAACATGCGGGGATGGCGGAATTGGCAAGAAGCGCAACAGCCGGTAATAAGCGGGGGCGGGACGGTTCCGCGCCGCTCGTCATGAGGGGAATTGGAAATTGAATTTATTTGTCCTGCCGGCTGTTCTCGATCCTACTTTCTCTCATCATACGATTTTCCTTCGTGTTCATCTTCCATCATGGCTTCCTGGTTCTCAATTCCCAAGAACTCGCCCTTCTCGTTGGCCAACATCCCCTTTGGCATCATCTCCTCCGCCAACGCCCCCGCGCGAGTGGCCGCCATTGCCATCGGAGACCATGCTCTGAACCTCAGCGTCTTCGCATCCTCGGGTGGCTTTTCCCAGCTCCCAGCCATTCAGTCTCATCTCGGTGTGTTCTCGCAGCCTACGCTGAACGCCTTCGCGGCGCTGGGTCGCCCCGTGCACCGCCAAGTGCGCGAGTACATCCAGAGTGTTTTCCGTGACGATACACCCTTCCCTCAGATCCTCAAGGACAACGGATCTCTGCAGAAAGATGCCCTGTTCCCCTTGAGCGAGGTGACCAACCATGTCCCGATGCAGATCGGCGACTACACCGATTTCTACGCGGGTCTGAACCACGCATACAACGTGGGCGTGCTATTCCGGGGCCCTGAAAATGCCCTCCAACCCAACTACAAGCATCTTCCCGTCGCATACCACAGTCGTGCCTCATCCATCGTCACATCCGGCACACCTATTCATCGTCCCAACGGTCAGATTTTGACCAATCCCACGGCAGACCCGAAAGTCCCCGTCTTTTCTCCTTGCAAGAGACTTGACATCGAGCTCGAGCTGGCAGCATTCGTCTCTAGACCCAACAACCTGGGCCACCCGGTCCCCATCAACGAGGCGGAAGACCACATCTTCGGTCTGGTGCTCATGAACGACTGGTCTGCTCGCGATATCCAGGCATGGGAATACGTGCCCCTGGGCCCATTCAACGCGAAGAACTTCGCGACGACCATCACCCCCTGGGTCGTATTGCTTGATGCCCTGGAGCCGTTCCGCTCGGCAGGTCTCGAGCCCGGAGACCGCGACTCGCTGCTCCCGTATCTGCAGGAGAAGAAGGCCGCAAACGTCTACGACATTCCGCTCGAGGTGGAGCTCACGACCGCCGGCGGCAAGCCCACGCTCGTCTCGAACTCCAATGCGAAGAACCTGCTGTATTCGTTCCCGCAGATGCTGACCCATCACACTATCACGGGGTGTAACATGAACCCGGGTGATTTGCTAGGTAGTGGAACGATCTCCGGCACGGAGCCGAAAACGCAGGGTAGTTTGCTGGAGCAGACGAATGGGAAGAGTCCGATTACGTTGGCGGATGGATCGGAGCGTATCTTCCTGGAGGACGGAGACACGATTGTTCTCAGGGGTAAGGCGGGTACGGAGGGCAACTACGTTGGATTTGGAGATTGTACGGGGACGATTCTTCCGGCTGTGAAGTTGCAGTTTTAATTGGATTGTCCATGTTATGCTAGTTGTTTGACGTTCAAAAGGATGTGTATTCAGTCGTGATAATTACGTCCGATGAGTATGAATAGATTGAACCTTTTTCTTTTCCTTCTCATATCCCTCCTACCACAAGACCAGACACAATAAACACCCAGCAAACCACTAACTAGCCCTCCCCAAAAACACACGTACAGTATATAAATCAAACCCTAAACTCCTCCGGCGTATCCTCCTGATTCCTCCAATGTCCCAACTTGACCGCCTCCACCTCCTCCAAGCCCCTCGCAACCCTATCAATTGTCGGATACCTCTCCAACTCAACGCCAACTCTCTGGGCGCCCCAAACCGCCGGAATCAAGCACACATCGGCCATGGTCACCTCATCCCCAACACTGAACCTCCCGGCCGACTTTTCCGCAATCGCCTCGTACGCCCGGAAACCGTCCTCGATTAACTCCTTTGACCACGCACCGCGGTCGACGCCCAGCGGCGCCACGCGCTTTAAGATTCGCAGGTTCGTGACGGGCTGGACGTCGCAGGCGATGATGTGGGAGAGGGTTCGGACGAGTGCGCGCGCGGAGGGGTCGCTGGTTGGTGGGAGGAGTGAGGAGGCGGTGTCGGGGAAGGTCTCGTCGAGGTATTCAAGGGCGGCAAGAGACTGGGTAATTTTGACTGTGTTGTTTTCTGATTTGATGAGGAGGGTGGGCACCGTGGCGGAGGGGTTGAGAGTGGTGTTGGTGGTGGAGTGCTGTTCGTCTTTTAGGAGGTTGATCGGAATGGCTGTGTAGGGGAGGTTTTTGAGGGCGAGGGCGATGCGCAGACGAGCGGAGCAGGAGGAGCGGAAGTAGGTGTAGAGGGTTATTTGGGGCATTTTGGTGGATGGGTTTGGTTGGGAAGGAGAGATAATAACTATAGTCTATAGAGGTGGTCGATATAGATAGATCGATGTAGACTGATAGGTAGTAGGTAGGTTTAGGGTGGAACCATGACTTTAGACACTACAACTAGGATATAAATACGCAACCCCGCTTGTTATCCCACAGTAACTGTTCGAAATCCATATGTATCAAGCTATGGCATCGCATTTATTCAATTAGGGATCCTCCCGCGGAACCCCTTCCGTCTCCCCAATATCCGATCCAGCGCGACGATTTCCGCGCCTTTCCGAAGGTTACACTGCGCAGGGATGAAAACCAGAATAATCCCATGGCAAACCTATAGTTTCTCTTTGAAACTAGTGATCTTTTGTTCTAGTGGGGATCTGTGCGGAGGAGCGTGTCAGACGGCGGGACTACTACTGGCGATGATTCCGCGCCCCAAGGATACCATAATGACATCATATATAGGTAGTGGCTCGAGTGTTTTGCAGCGCAGTCAGATCTTCGCAAAACTTCCATAAATCCAATCGGATCTTGTTCGAGAAGCAATTTTGCTGCAGACTTCATGCAGGATGAATGTGAGATGTCTGCTGTCGGCATGCAGTTGCTCGTTTCTTTTCACTTCATGCAAGCTACCGAGCTTGTATCGAGAATTAGAATGCGGGATGAGGAATAAGATACTAGTCAATTATTTCTCAATCATCCATCAACCATCATCCATGATATCGGATAGTTCTATACTCTGTGTATCCGTAGTGACTCCACTGCCGAGACGGGATCCGAACCGGGTATTTCCCCCTCTCCGCCCGTCGGCAATCACCGGCTATTTTCTGCCGCCTGTCTCAATTTCATCCGCACAAAACACCCTCTCTTGGTCGCATCGCATCTCGGCCCAGATCAAGATCTCTAATGTCTACTCTAATTGATTATTGAAGTCTTCGAATACCACTCCATCACCTAAGGAAAATCCTGATTGGCCCGCGCCGTTATGCGTGAGAATGGAAATCAGGAGACACTCCCGCCCCGGAGATGCCCCCGACCGAACCTACCAGCGCACCTACAAGGCCTGTCTCGCCTGTCGCCAACGCAAGGCTAAATGCGAACTAAGTACCGGCCCGGATGGCGTCACGTTGGGTCCGCCTTGTGCGAAGTGTCGTAGAGAGCAGAGGCCTTGTGTGTTTAGCGAGAAGCGGGCATGGGAGAGGCGGAAGAGGAGAGGTAGGGTGCTTCCGCTTAAATGATATAGATCTAGGTCTATTTCTAGGCGCGGCTCTTGGTTAAATAGGTTGACTGATATATCTGTCCATATATGCAGGAACATCAGACGAGGGGACTCCCAGAACCCGGCGCCGGTTGTCTAGTAGTTATGCGCGTGACGGGGATGCATCACACCACGTTCGGACTCGCGATTCAAGCGCCGTAGAGGATAGGGGTGTCGAAACGCATGATGAAGAAGATGGCGACGAGGATGATATTTTACAGGGAGCAGTTCCCTCGGACCAGCACGGTCAGCGACAGTCAAACGCTTTCGCAAATTCCATGATGCGTACTGTCGTTTCCAGCGGGAATGATGCGCTTAATATTCTGTTCGAGGCGGCCGCCGTTCATAGTCGTGAGAATGACATGCTCGAGTCGGAGATGCAGTCGCGTAATGCGCAGACTCGGTCGCATCGGAATAGGCAAAGCAATGCCTCGAGGGACATGAATGCCATTTCCCCGGAAGCGCTGGCCAAGGCTGTGAGGCCCGTGCCGCTGTCGCATGCGTCAAAAGATGTCCTCGCTATTTGGGAGACATGTCGGTTTGTTAGAATGGGGTGGTTCACGTCGAGAGAGGCCGTGACTTTTATTGATCTGTAAGTGGGCTTTCCATTTGTATTAGGATGCGTACGGAGAGCTAATGTATGTTGGGATCTAGTTTCTACAAGAATATGTCCCCCCTATCGCCCATCTTAACCGACTTTTACTCAGACCATAGAAACCATGGCTGGCTTGTCACTCGAGATCCCGTTCTATGCTGTACAATTCTAATGATCTCGTCTCGATACCATCTCCTTCCTGGAGCCGGGGGAGAGTCGAGAAACTTCTTCATCCACCACCGACTTTGGCAACACTGTCAGCAACTGGTGACACGACTAACCTTCGGCCAGGAGAGATCCTTGCAGCCGAAGACCAGGACTATCGGAACGATCGAGGCTCTCTTGTTGATATCCGAATGGCATCCGCGGTCTTTACATTTCCCGCCGGAGAGCGATGGCTGGGACTTTGACCTGGCGTTTGCAGCCCCTGAACCGAAGGAACCCGACGAGTCCTCAACGAACCGATGGCTAGAAGATATGATCGAACCTGCGCGGCGGTCGGATCAGATGTCATGGATGCTGTTAGGGTTGGCACTATCTTTATCGCACGAGTTGGGGATCTTCGAGCTCGACGATAAGAAATGGACCTACTTCGATGGTTACGAAGGGGCCATATCCACGGAGCAGACCAAACTTCGGAGATCACGAGTGCAGAGATTACTTTACGTGTATATCAATCAACTCGCATGGCGCATCGGATGCGTTTCCCTCATGCCACAGAGTTTGAACCACGCTGTCCTTGGCCGACAGGCCCAGCGGGATATGAGCCAGCCTGGAGACCAATGGCTAGCGTTTATGGACTCTTGGATGGACCTGACCAAGCTGGCGAAATCGGTGACGGACATGTTCTTTCCTACGGTCTCGTTTGCCCGGCAGCAGCTGCACACCGGACGGTATATCGATTTGTTGGACCATTTCCGGCCTTTACTCACGAAATGGAAAGATGACCACCTTCAACCTCACTGTAAGTTCGGGCTTCGCGGATGTTAATGAATATCACTGACCTGAGCAGTAATAAGCGAGCAATTTTACGACACCCTCTTCATTGAGTATCACTTCGTGCGCGTTTACACCCACTCCGTCGGCATGCAAGCGGTAGTCGAGCGCGTCCTCGCCGACAGCGATCCCAATGCCGACGAAGTGCGCGCTATGAACATCGACCCGATCGACTACGAATACATCCAAGAAGTCATCGAAGGGTGCTGTCAGATCCTACACAAAGTCAACCAGCTCTCCCGGATGGAGGTACTCCGCTTCTCGCCCGTGCGCATCTTCCTCCGCATCACCAGCTCTTCCATTTTCCTCATGAAAGCCCTAAGTCTAGGGACGCGACAGGCCAAGCTCCGCGAATCCCTCGACTGTCTCGAACAATGCTGCCAGGCCTTGAGGTCAAATGCGCTAGACGACATCCACCTTAGTACCCGCTACGCCACCCTGTTGGAGCTGCATGTGGCGCGTCTGCGGCGCAACCTGCTCGCCTCCAAAAGCATAAACCTCAAGACGAGCCATGGTAAGCGCCGATCGTCCACGGGTCCCCTCCCCAACCCCGACCTGGAGACTCCTGTCATGGACGAGTCGCAGACCATATCGGCGGTGGGCCTAGTGCCGTCACTCAATGATATCGCCGCCGACGATTGGCTTTCTTTGCCGTTCGATCCGTCTATGGCGCCGTTTGGCATCAGTAGTGGCGGGCAATTCCCTGCGTATGAAGGTGGAGCTTTGAATTTTATTTGGAATTTGCCTTCTTGAGAGGGCATGTTGGTCTAGGCGGGATATTGGTCGATTGTAACGATAATGATGTTAGCTCTATAGTCTGATTGATCATGAATGATGAGAAATGTCTGTCAACTAGTTTAAGACTTTATCTGGGGTTGGTCTTTAGTCTCCCCACATCGCTTAGCTTTAAATCCTATCGAGGATGAAATTGACTTATTAAGATATGTTCTGGATTGGTCTGTGGGTTTAACAGGAAGCATAGTTGGGGGTTTCCCGTGTACATGCAATGCGAGACGATATACAGATTTAGACGCTAGCAAGAATGTATACAAATATAGAAAGAGACTTCCGGATCAGCGATTTGGTAGTCAGATTGCGGATGCACACAATGACACTTATCTAGCTCCTTTGTCTCCTCTTTGGTGGAAAACTCTGTAGATGACAGGGATCGGAGAGATGAGGAAGCGCCGGCCGGGGAAGAAAGGCGATGCATTTTCGCCACTCGAAAGAAAACCGGGGGAAAATCGGAGGTCTTGGCGTGTCCGGGCTATCGGCACGTGATGTCAGGTCACGTTTTCGGGGGCGACAGAAAAAGATTGACGGAACTTCCTCATTGCCGAACCTTCGATCTCGACTGCGACCTTCGACCCCCATCAACACCTCCGCTCGAGACCACCCCCGTGTGTGTTTTCTGTACAATACCGCGTTCTTTCTTTTAAGTGAACTCTTCGATCCCGGCTCCATTGGACTGTCGCTCCGGATCTCGCGTCACCACGCTCGGTCGTCTCTCGTCATCTCCCTTCTCTCTTCACATTCACAATGGATCACTCGCGCGACCCCTGTCCCTGGGTTGCCCTGAGCGACTTCGGTGGTGCTTTCTGTATGGGTGTATGTTTTTGACCGGCTTCTTTTGTCCGATTCCGCTTCCCCCTTCGATACTGACGACATCTTTGTTTAGGCGATCGGTGGTGCCGTCTGGCACGGTGTCAAAGGTTTCAGAAACAGCCCCTACGGCGAGCGACGGATAGGTGCCATCACAGCCATCAAGGCTCGCGCGCCCGTTCTCGGTGGTAACTTTGGTGTGTGGGGTGGTCTATTTTCGACTTATGACTGCGCGATCAAGGGAATCCGGAAGAAGGAGGATCCTTACAATGCTAGTACGTGGATATTCTTTTTGGTCCGGTCAATCTTGCGAGGGTCTCTTCATGCTGACGATTGATAGTCATCGCTGGTTTCTTCACCGGTGGTTCCTTGGCTGTCCGTGGTGGTGTCAAGGCTGCTCGGAACTCGGCCATCATGTGTGCTGTTTTCCTGGCGGTCATTGAGGGTGTCGGTATCGGTTTCCAGAGAATGATGGCCGACAACACGAAACTAGAGGTAAGTTGGCTGTGGATGAGGGATGAATCGAAAGGCAAAAGATGCTAATCAACCATTGTCTGCTACAGCTCCCTCCTCCCCCTCCTTCTCCCGAAAAGGCCGTCGCCTAAATTCCGACGACGACCATCTTATGATATCCCGTCGCTGTGTCCATATATGCTATATTATTATCTCACGTCTCTCTTCTCAGGTGTTGGGTGGGTCATTTGGGCTTCAGTATAGAGGTTGCGTTGAATTGTTGCTTCTATCAGCTCTCGACTTCTTTTTCCTATCTTCTATTTTACACTTATTTTTATTACATCTTATTGTGGAGCATGTTTTATGGCGATTGGATTGCTCAGCCTTTGCATCCCATGTTTTTTTGTGACCGGAGACGACAAAAAAAAGCGGAAGTGCCGGCTGGTCTTGTACATTAACTTGCTAACAGGAATAATGCATCAAGTTTTATGTTAGATTCGGAACTTTATCTGCTGTGGCTTTTTCTAACCCGTGAGAGCGAACTCACTGTTTATAAAATCTAACCCCTCTTTCTTATCCCTAGCTTCGCACTAGCTCATCCTCACCAACACCACTTCATCACAACCATCACCACCACCTTCAACCCACCAATCGATCCAAGAACCGAAAATGAAATACAAACCCACGCTCATCATCCATGGAGGCGCTGGCGCCCTCTCTCGATCCTCTATTCCTCCCCACCTCTACGGCCAATACCATACCTCCCTCCTCACCTACCTCCGCTCGACTCGCGACCTCCTCAACTCCGGCTCCTCCGCCCTCGACGCCGCCGTCCATGCCGTCTCCCTCCTCGAAGACGACGAACTCTTCAACTGTGCCCGCGGCAGCGTGTTCACCTCAGCCGGGACCATCGAAATGGAAGCTTCGGTGATGGTCACGTCGATGGATAGTCCTGGTCCTGGCTCAACAAAACGCGGCGTCGGCGTCATCGGGCTCCGCAACGTACGGCATCCGATTCAACTCGCGAGGGAAGTTCTTCTACGGGATGGGCTTGGGGAGGATGATGATGGAGGAAGCATGCACGCACAGCTTTCTGCGCCTTATGTCGAAGACCTCGCTAAGCAGTGGGGTCTCGAGTTTCAGCCCGACGAGTACTTTTGGACAAAGAGACGGTGGAATGAACATGTGCGGAAGTTACGTGGACAGGGACAGGGACGGAAACAGACTGCTAAGCAGGCTACTTTTGTCTCAGATTCCAATGCTGATGATTCCACGTGCGATGTCGCTATAGATTCGGAGGTAGAGATGCGGTCGGATGGCAAGATGTTCGACCTTGATCTTGACCTAAACTCCCTCCCCCAAGGAACAGTCGGCTGCGTCTGTCTCGACCAGTACGGCAACCTAGCCGTCGCAACAAGCACCGGCGGCATGACAAACAAGCTTCCCGGACGAGTGGGCGATACCCCTACGTTAGGGGCGGGATTTTGGGCGGAGCGATGGACTGAGTCGTCTCCTTCTCCGCCTAATATACTATCCATGGAGGAAGAGGAAGAGACATCGATGTCCTGGACCGCTTGTCTCCCTTCGTTTCTACGTTGGAGTTACCGTCCTCGTTCATTTCCATTGGAGAAATATACCACTAGACAGAAGAAATATACCGATACAGATACCGATCTCGATCCCGAAGCGCAGAGACATAGACCCACAGCCAGAACCCCATCAGAACCGGATCTACCATCACCAGTTTACGAAGAAATCGAAAAACAGCTTTTGATCGACTCTCCTCCCTCATCATGCAGCACCTCCTCCGTATTGTCCCTCCCTCAACCACAACCTCCGCCGCCACCGTCCAATTCCCTATCAAGATCCAGATCCAGATCCAGGTCTCAAACCGTAGCCGTCGCCCTTTCCGGCACCGGCAACGGCGACTCCTTCCTCCGGACCTGTGCGGCGCGCACAGCCTGCGCTATGGCTCGCTTTTCACCCCATACGATGCTTTCCGAAGCAGTTAGGGACGTAGCCGGGCCGGGTGGCGAGTTACAGCGTTCCGCCGGGACAAAATGGGGAAGTGGAGAGGGGGGGGGAGGGATTATTGGGATTGAAGTGAGATGTGTTACGAAGGAGGACCAAGGGGGATATAGAGATGGGGAGGTGATTGGACGGGGAACCGTGGTGTTTGATTTCAATTGTGGGGGGATGTGGAGGGCTTGGATAGATGAGGATGCGATGGGAGGTGAGAGAGAGAATGTGATGGTGTTTAGAGAGAGTTATTATTAGATTAGATGCTGGAGGTTCATATACATCCATGGTGGATGAGGAGTGGATTCCAATCAAATTGTCAGGTATAATACATATGAGTTGAATATGGACAAAAAAAAGTCGTCGACTGCCAGATCCACCACTTTCTTTATAATCTCCCCCAAAAAAAGAATTTACCATCCCTCCAACACCTTCATCTTCACTAAAACCCCATCCCTCGGACAAATCGTCGCACTTTGCCTTACCTCCAACTTCTTGCCGGGTTCCGCAAACTCCATCTCGAAGCGACCCACCAGAGACGCCACCAGAGACGCCAGTTCCGCCTTCGCGAACCCCTGACCGATGCAGCTGCGCGGACCATGCAGGAAAGTTAAATAGGCGTAGTTGTTCGTCGCGCCGCCGGTGTTAGCACGACCCTGACCCAGCCACCGCTCCGGGTTGAACTTGTCGGCGTCGGCGCCCCAGAGCTCCTTGTTGCGGTTGATGACGGTGGCGGCGACGTTGAAGAGTGTGCCCTTGGGGATGTGCGTGTTGACGAGCGTGGTGTCGCGGTTGGCAACGCGGACAGTGGAGGGCACGGAGGGGTAGAAGCGCATGACCTCGTTGCAGACGGCGCTGAGGTAGGGGAGCGCGTCGAGAGTGCTGGCAGATAAGGGCTCTGGGTGATCGGTTGAGATGGAGGGGAGGTCGGAGCGGACTTCGTCGCGGAGACGGGTCTGGATGTCTGGATGCTTGCAGAGGGCGTAGATGACCCATTGCAGGGCGGTGGAGGTGGTTTCGTGCCCGGCGCCCAGGAAGGTCATCATTTGGTCGATGAGCTCGTCTTCGGTGAAGCTGCCGCTTTGGAGGGCGACGGAGAGGATGTCGACGCCGGTTGCGCCGGTATTGGAGTCCAGCTTTTGCTGCTTCTCGCGGATCATTTGGCGCGCGACGCTGCGGATCGTTTCAGAGGCGCTCATGATGTCGTCGTTGCGTTTGACAGGGAGTTTGTTGACCCAGCCTGGGTTTCCCATGATCATGGCGAGGACGTACAGCAATTTCATGCCGAGGGGAGGGTCAGACATGATCTTCTGGTACTGTTGCTGGAGTTCGTTGTTGGGGTTACGGAGGGCCTCGAAATCGTGGTCCATTCCCGCTACTCCGATGATATCCAACGTCGCTCGACTGGACCAGGTGCCGATGCAGATGACGTTATCCGTCGGGTCAGCGCGGTTTTTCAGGTCATGCTCGATGCATTTGACCATCTCGGTGCTTTTGGCCCAGAAGATAGGGTATATTTCCTTGATGTGGCGATACGCGAATGCCGGCATGAGGTTCTTTCTTTGTCTCTGTTCGGATGTCAGCTATCAACTCAATATCATGGCGGCCCCGTGATTTCTACCTTATGTTCATCTCCCTCGACCAACAACAAGCCATGCTCACCCGTGACGCGTGATAAACTGGCACGGATGATTTCCGGCTTGGGGAACTCGTACACCTTATGCGCCAGCAACTCACTCAACGACTTGGGGCTAGTCAGGAGCACCCGTTCCAGGTTTCCGGCGATGTAATAGCGAATCAAGCCGTTATTGGGGATTGTCTCTACCCATTTGCGCATGTCGTCGAACGGCGACTCGATGAAAAAGGACTTCGAGTTTCCCGTGAGCCACGATCGGCGCTATGAATGGTCAGGACTCGGACATATTCAGGGCATGGCTACGGGACGAAAAACTACTTACCGGCGGTGTTGGGATGTGACCGATGGAGGAAAAATACTCGGGGTACAACACTAACTTGTAAAAGAACTTGGCCACAGTTGCGACGAAGGATAACAAAAAGAACATCCCCACGGTCGACCGAGTGATCGTGTAGGCCGCGATCCCGATATAGACCGTAGACCAAGGAAGGCCAGCCATATTTGGTTGATGTGTTCGCTAGCCAAGGAAGAAAGGACTGTGTAACGAGAAACCTTCGTGTTCAGCGAGATATAGCCTCGTGCCGCTCTCAGGAGTATATAGTGAAGAAGAAAAGGTCATTCAATGCCGTTTATATAGGAAACAAAATCCAGATCGGGGCGATTTAAAGCCGACAGCATCCACAGCCCGTGCAGAGGCTTACACGGTCTCCAACACGCTACCGAAGATACTGCATCGTAACGGAACTAGTCCGGGGGATCCACTTGTCGTGGTCTTCCATGGCCTTTTATCTCATTCATCGACGAGGGTTGGGTCCGGAAGTCATCGCGGCCGCGGACCCGAGAGCACGAGGACCGGGATCGTAAGGCATCCGACCGTTACTGATCGGGTTCAAGGTGGCTTGGAAGTTGGAGGGCAGCAAGCATCAAGAAAGGATGACAAGAAGAGAAAGGATTCCCTTCGATGCCAACGCGTCAGTGCTGATTGGCCCGCACGTGAGGGTCCGCAAGGTTGACTGTATCGGGACTAGCGGCTTGGCGGGCACTCAAATTGTCCGGGGAATCGGCCTCGCCCTCTTTTCCTTTGTACTTTTTCTGTGTTCTGGTGGACTTACAGTGCCAAGCACTATATCGTGTTGCTATAACCCTACAAAGTATTGCATTTTACCAGACGTTGGAACTAGCCAGGTCAATATCTCTAGCCTCAGTCTAAGGAAACACTCTATTTTTACTTCCCCCTAAATATCTCTAACTAACATCTATGGTTCTCCAACCAAACCATACATCCCTCTTCAAGCCCCATGGTTCCCCGATAAGATAACCGATAAGATAGGCGCGACCTCGGCAGTCCCAATAAAGTAGATTACCAAGCAGCGAAACTGTCATGACATCATCCACTGGAATTCCACATTCCATTTATACCTCTGCTGCCCTCCCTTCCTTCCAATTCACCACGAGCATAGCAGAATTAATCAATCATGGCTCCTCAGTTCCACGACATCGTGAACAAGCCCGCCCCCGGCATCCCCTACTTCACACCCGCCCAGGAACCGCCCGCAGGGACTGCCGCAAACCCTCAATCCGATGGTGCCCCGATCCCCAAATTGTTCCAACCTCTGTCGGTGAGGGGGTTGACGTTCCACAACCGTCTGGGGGTAAGTTGAATAAGGTCGGAATCGATCATGGTTCTGACAGATATACCAGCTCTCTCCCCTGTGCCAATACTCCGCCGACGATGGCCACATGACGCCCTGGCATATGGCCCATCTGGGTGGAATTGCCCAGCGCGGGCCCGGATTTCTGATGGTCGAGGCCACCGCCGTCGAGCCGGAGGGTCGCATCTCCCCTCAGGATCTGGGATTGTGGAAGGACTCGCAAATCGAGCCCATGAGACAGGTGATTGAGTTCGTGCACAGCCAGAACCAGATCATCGGCGTACAGATCGCCCACGCCGGTCGGAAGGCGAGTACCGTGGCGCCGTGGCTGTCGTTCACGGAGGCAGCTTCCAACAATGCCAGTGGCTGGACGGACCGCGTCAAGGGACCCAGTGGTGTGCCATTCAGCGACCGCTACCCGATCCCCACGCAGATGACCAAGCAGGAGATTGAAAAGTTCAAGCAGAACTGGGTGGCAGCGGTGAAACGGGCTGTCCGCGCGGGTGCCGATTTTATCGAGATTCACAATGCCCACGGATACCTGCTGATGTCGTTCTTATCGCCGACGTCGAACACGAGGACGGATGAATATGGAGGCAGCTTTGAAAATCGCATCAGACTGAGCTTGGAGATCGCGAAACTCACCCGCGAGGCTGTTCCCGAGAACATGCCCGTCTTTCTGCGCGTGTCGGCGACGGACTGGCTAGAAGAGGTCCAACCGCTGCAGCCGAGCTGGCGACTTGAGGACACTATTAAGTTTGCGCAAGCGCTGGCAGAGAGCGGAAACATCGATTTGCTCGATATCAGCAGCGGTGGAACCAACGCTGCCCAGAAGATCAAGCCGGGGCCTGGATTCCAGGCACCGTTTGCCGTTGCCGTGAAGAAGGCGGTTGGCGATAAGCTGTTGGTGAGTGCTGTCGGGACAATCGACTCGGCTCACTTGGCCAACTCGTTGCTCGAGAAGGAGGGCTTGGACTTTGTTCTGGTGGGACGTGGTTTCCAGAAGAATCCATCCCTGGCATGGAGTTTTGCTGAGGAACTGAACGTGGAAATTTCCATGGCTAGCCAGATTCGCTGGGCTTTCTCACGACGGGGTGGGGGACCTTTCTTGAAGAAGAGACAAGAGAAAATCTAGATCTAGACATATCATAAACTCCAGACACTTTGATACTTAGAGTTGAGGTCGTTGACTGAAGATAAACAATCTATATATATATTGTAAAATAAGCGCAGAAAACGGCTTCTCTCTCACCATGTAACTGGATTATTTTTCACCCACTTCTGGTCATTTGAGATACTCCTGTACCAAAAGACGATGGGCGCGTTGATGGTAGCCATGCACACTGTATTAGATAGAATGAAGCTCAAATCTCGAGGATCTAGGAAGTCGAACCATCAACAACCTGCATCAAAGTCCGTAAAGATATCCAGACCTCGCGAATCGAAACCCCTAGACGGTACGAGGGCGACAAAGTAAGCGAGAGCTGTTTCTTGGAATTCATGCCGCCATAAGCTGGAGCCACACCATGGTGTGACAGTGATGCCTCTTGAAGGAGAAAAAGGGCGAGAGGGAGGCGTAAGCTGAATTTTGGGGGCGATAGATAGCCACCCTTAGGTGCGATCCACCTGTATAACAAGGATATCCCTGGGCATCTCGGCTAACTTTGCCATTCAAGATAATCCAGACGGGTTCGCTCTGGTTGTATTCTGACGAAATTCGCAGTAAGTGATTGCTCGATCGTATAGTTATAGTTGTTGAATTATTTCAATTCCCAATAAAATCAAATCACATTCTAAATCGCATGAAACGGATATTGCATGTAGTCACTCTAGAAGCAGCAGATCTAAAGACTCAAGATATACCTAATTTCCTTTCCTCGCAACAACAACAACCCGCAAGTCCACGGTAGGCAAAACTCGCCATACTCCTTCTCGATCTTCTCGATCCACTCCTCTGCCATCTCACCGGTCTCCTCTATACCCCCAACCCTTCCCGACTGTATCATCACGATCGGAAGCGTTTTTCTCCAGACCGATCCTAACCACTCTCTCGCCTGCCCGCGCAGATCCGCTCTGTCGAGAACAGAAAAGGTATGCTTTTCAACCTGAGTGAATCCCACCCCCTTTGCGATACGTTGGATTCTTTGTGGAGGGTCTAGACAGAATCCGACGTGCGACATGCCTTCTTTTATAATTTCGGTCATATGAGGGATGGTTTTGAGTTCCAGACTAGGGAGTTGGATCTTGCCGAGGATTGAAGGGTCGGCTTCTGTCCATTGGAGGTAGCCGTTGGGTTCTGGGGTGTTATAAGTGGAAAAGAAATAATATGTAGGGAAGGGGACTGGACGTAGTCAGGATCTCCAACAAATTCCTTATGGAAGCCTCATACTCCCCCTCTCTAAGGGCAGCAACCAAGAAGCTTACATTCACAAGGTCATATTTCCCCCAATAAGTCTCTGGAAAACGATTCTGAATATCATGGACCAGGAACTGAATTTCATGGCCCGGGGCAGTCGTCTTCTCCGTAGAAGGGAACTGGTCGGCGGAAATATCAAAGCCATGTAGAGTGAGGGAGGATGTGTGGTTGTCGACAGAGCGAAGGTAATTAGGGAGAGAATTGATCCACAGTCTGATTCATTTCTGTCAGTAGGTCTGCTTTATCCGGTGGTGCTAGTTTATCTGCGTACCCAGTTCCAGTTGCGACGTCTGCGATAGTATTCAACGAGTGTCTTGGGATCGAGGGATGAACGAGATCATTGTTGAGCAACTTGGTGAAGAAGCTTTGCTGGGCGTTAAGCCTATTACACTCTAGGTGTTAGACCAATTCATCATTGCTAGAAGAGCAGAAGGAAACTTTTTGGATTCATCCAGACTTCGGTCTAGGACGTAGGCTGAATCGGATGCTTCTCCCATGGTGATCGATATGTCTGATAAGTGCTGTTTGCTGTTCAGAGTATGAAGATTCTAAACGTCCTTTTCAATTATATATATACTCTTCGTCGATTAATTAACTGGCAACTGACCCCGAGTGTTCAGTTACACCAGGTTACTTATCCAGAAAAGGCACATAGAAGAGGTTTCTCATTTAGGAGGAATGCATGAAAACTTCCGTAGACCCCGAGTGAGGAAGTCCGGATTTGGCTTCCTGAAGAATGCAAACCGGTTTTTAGCAAGGTTTCTAGGATCAATTTGAGTGTTGCGGACTTCCTCATTATCCATTGTCGGCACGGAGACCTTAATTCAATCATACATTCATTTTCCTTACTTTACAATTGCCTTCGTCATATGGCGTCATGTTTGTTCATTCAATCTACTACATTTTCCCGATCTAGCCATCACCATTTAGCGGGAAGCTGACTCCTAGACACCAAACGTCACGCCATGCAGATACCTTCACGCCCCTCGAACCTTACCCGGAAGTCTAGAAAAGAGGTAGCTAAAAATTTCTCGGCTTTTGTATAGGTTCTCCACACGTAACCGTTCATTGTACAAGTGCGCGTTGTCACTGGCTTGTCCGCACGGCAAGTTAGCTGCCGGGGCGGAGAATTCCTTCTCGAGGAACCGAATCGTAGGGATGGATCCTCCCTCTCGGATATAGATAGGTCGCACGCCTGACGGCCCGGAGATAGGTCCGGTAGCAGGTGTGATGGGCGTCTCAGTATGAGACACAGGGGAGGACTCGCGCGTGGCATCGCTCGAGGAGACGGCGCCCGATTTGTTCGTTAGTGTCGACGAAGTCGGAACGGTCCTACTTAGGGATGACTGTTTCCGAGAAGACTTTTTCCCCGCGGAGGATGTAGTGGTCGACATGATAATGCGGTCAATGTGAGAGGCCAGGCTGTCGGACGAGTCCTTCCGTTTGACCGCAGGTCCCAGCAAGTCCTTGGATGGTGCCGCTCGCTCTTGTGGGCTCCGCTGAATAGGAGGATATTGGTGCTTTTGGTTCTGCTGATCCGGTGTCCATGCGGCTGTGATGGCCTCGTCAAGAGTTTCGAACATTTCATTATCCGGATCGCCAAGCCAGGGATCAGATTTGCCCGTGATCTCGACGGTAAGATCGTTCTGTGAACCTAACAGGTCATACTGTTCTTGGGCATACATGGTCAATCTAGCGGCTATGTCATCCGCTTCTTGATTTGGCACAAGTCGCACCGATAGACTAGCCTTCGCCTTTCGAGAGATGGTGGTCGTCGTGCTTTTGTTGTTACCTGGGACTTCCACGGAATGAATCGTGAGTGACGGTTCGCGCCAACGATGCATGAGGGAATTTATCAGGGCCTCGCGGTCTGTGATTTCGGGGTGCCGCTGCAGAAGAATTTGGGCAATGTCGGCGTAGCGCTGCTTTTCCGCCTCTGTGAGAGGCAGGACCGGATCTTGAACGCCGGGGATATTGATGCGCCCTCTGGGACCCATCAGAGTGCCTAGAAGTAGGGTGAGGTCCTTCAAGGGTTCGTCCAACAACGAACTTCCATCAATACCACTGTGAAGATCTGGATGATCACTGGAAACAATCAAGTTGGCATGGACGACGCCACGCAGGCCATACGTCAGGCAAGGGTTGAAATCATCTAACCAGTAACTGTTCGCCAACAGGATCCAGTCCACCGGGCCAATTTGAGCTTTGTGTGCCCGGACTGTCTCGTGAAATCCCTGGGAGCCGGACTCTTCCTCGCCTTCAATAATGAACACAACGTCGCAGGGAAGTGCCTTCTGCCGAGCAAGTTCGGCGGCTGCATAAAGGGCTGCCAATATAGGACCTTTATTATCCGAGACACCTCGACCATACAGAAATCCGTCCATAGAGGTCAACTGGAACGGATCGGTCTTCCATTTGGCCCGATTGGCATCGGCTCCGACCACGTCGTAATGTCCGTAGAATAAGATGGTTTTGTCAACCTTATTAGGAGATGTCGCATTGAACCGCGCATGCACGATGGGGTTCGTGTCCTCTCCGGTAGTTAGGAGCTTTGTCTTGGCGCCTAAGTAGATGCAGTGTCGTCGTAGAAAGGCTGCACCTTGGTTGCATTCGCCGGAAAATTTTGGACTAGCGGAAACAGTTTTGAAACCAACAAACTTCGCCAGGCAGTTCACCATTTCGTCTGAGCACTTTGTTAGCAAGGTTTCGAGAATAATAGCTCTCCCATCATACCATTGTTAATTTGAGGCAGTTCGCCCTGGCTCAAGGAAACCTCCGTCACGTCCCAAATACCAACCGTGTTATCGTTGCCTCCGGTGGCATAGATAAACCGGTCCTTGTATTGACCTGCAGCGGATGCCAGCATCGTACCCTCGTGGGCCGCCCAACTGCCAACCTCTTCAAATCGAGAATTGAATTTCTAATCCCAGAAGTTAGTAATTCTTCTGTGCCGAAGCCATGGAGGTCCAATGTCGTCGTACCTTCACAATTCCATTAGAGTCACCACAAACTGCTACACCGTGAATGATGTCGACAGCCCATAAGTCGCCCGTATGCCGAGTGATTCGCTTCACCAGCTGATGAGAATCGAGATTCCAAATGTTCAAGGCACCTCCGGCGAGACCACAATAAAGGAAAGATCCATCCACAGCGATCGAAAGAACCGGATCCCCATTTTGTAGCTTGGCCATTTGGGTGGGAACGGCGTTAGATTTGTCTTGTTCCAAGCGCCATAACTTGACAACGCCATCACCAGCACCGGTCAAAAGCACCTCTTCGCTCGGTGCCGACTCGATTAATCCTCGAACGAGGAGCATCGTATATACATACCCGTGATGTGAGAATAGCCTATGATGATCGCGCTTGAAGGTCAGGACTTGGCCACCCTCCGTGACCGGGCGGACTCCATCAGATCCTGCTTCTGGTCTCGGAGCGCGAGAGCCGTCGGGACCGCGAGAATCAAAGAAGCGATGCGTGCGCTTCGACAGTTGGGCGGTCGACAACTGCGTCGTAGCAGCGTCGGCCTGGGAGATATCACACCACTGAAACCTTGTCAGATCATAAGTCACGAGTGATGGAGCTAACAACCCACCTGGATACTTGTGTTTTGTCCACCACAATAGATGGTGTTCAAAGTCGACGAGTAGGCTACCGCGAATATATCACCCACATCATGGTGTGTATGAATAGAGTATAGTCGATCAAATGTTCTGGTCGACCAAACCTGCGATATCGGTCAATCCTACGAACCATAATGAATAGAGCTGATAGATTGGAAATACATTGATGACGGAGTCTCCACCGCTCGAGAAGAGCAGATCGCCATCCTCCGACAGATAAAGATCGAGTACACTTTCTTGATGCGCGTGCACCGAGAGGACTAGATCATATGTCTCGAGAGACCAAGCCTATCGCGGATGAGTCAGTCGGCTCCCGCCAATGAATAGGACACCACATACGACAATGTCTCCTCCCTGGAGACCAGCGAAGACGCATTCATTATCTATGACAAGAGCCAAGACCGATCTGCTAGCCTGGACGCGATGGCCAATACCGCACTCTATCGGCGACTTGGGATCATTGAGATCCTCGTGGACGGAAAGTGAGGCTTCCCAGGTTTTGGTCTGTTCATCGATTTCCGAGGTACTATCCGACTCGGCAAGTACTATGGGATCCATCGCCGGCATAACGAGCCGGCTAGAGCCTTAGCCTAGTTGTCCTTATCTGGGGGTTGATATATACGGTGAAAAAGAAAGAAAGATGATGTAAATGGCCTTTGTTCACGTGACAGCAGTGCGACAGCTTCGGAGTTACAGGACCACAGGATCTAAAGGGAAAAAGAGATAAAGAAAATAGAACCAAAAAAAAGGTACAGAGTTAAACGGAATACACAAAATACATCACCCTCGAACCAGGACGGACGAGGTCGCTAAATTTGCGGTGGAGACGGGGTAGGAAAGACTTGGAAGGAGGGAAGAAATGATGACTGGTCGAATGTCGTGATTTCGATGGTAGTGATGGCACCTGTGGCGGTGCACCCGGAACGCCCCCAATGCGGAAAGGCTCAGGAGATGCTGTGACGGCGGTCGACTCACCTCGTGTCCCTTGTCCACGGTATTCCTGCCGGCAGTAGCTCGATGCACAGAGCGTTTTGTCGGATGATCTTTTCGGAGGTGTCAGTCCACAGAGATTGAGAGGCAGAGCAGATACGTCCATTAGCCTTCGGGGAAGGCGTCTCTCGGGCGAAATACGAGCCAAGCCCGAGGGGAACGACGGGAAGATGTGGCAATTACTGACCTGGGTTCCCAGAGCAGACGGGCTAGGAGAGCGTCATTCTTGCAGGGAGGCATCTTCCAATATGGCCCATTGAAAATGCGAGGGGAAGGAAGAAAAGGGAGTGGGAAAGAGAACTATGACGGTGGCCGCCGTATATATGTGTAAGAACAGCACCACAACGGCCTTGCTACGTAGGTTGGGCGTGGGATTAGATAAAGAACCTGATCTGCACAAAGCCCTGAGAATTCACTGCATCTTCTAGGATGACTCTGCATGCCGCTGCTGCTGGTTATCTGCGGCCAGGGGATGCGTAGAAGCAAAGACGGGAATGAATTGTTTTTTCCCTTTCTTCCCCCCTTTTTCTTTAATAACATGGCAGAGCTCCCGAGGATGCATTCTTCCAGCACTGTCAGGGCAAGATAGAGAAATAAGTCAGTTTTCCTCATAGGAGGCAGTGCAGTTGGCAGAGATAGATATACTTCCACCTTCAGTTGGCCAACACCGAGCAGGGTGCTTAGTCAGGGGTGGTAAACACGGCGTATGGTAAGGTAACGTTGGTAAGGCTGACGGAAGCCCCGCTGCTCGTCCCGAACAGGCAAGAAGGCACATAAGCCACAGTGGCGGTGGCAGGGTGCGCCAATCAGGGGGCGTGACATCACCGCCATTTCTGTCAGTCCCGTGAATCGGCCGCTGTTCCCACTGTTCATCTACTTCCGTCCTCCATCCCCTCTGCACAAATCCTTCCGGCTATCTTAGTTCTTATTCAATATTACTCCGTACGATTTTTTGTCGCTTTAATTAACTAGTTGTGTCAAATCATGATTCCGTCCAATATCCATAATTCAATCTCTGCAGTGTCATCCGCCTCATCAGGTACCATTGGTGTCTCTCTCTCCCCCTCCTTCATCTCTACCCAACCCCGACCACCAATGATGCGGTAGAGTAGCGCCGTGACAGCAAATGCGGTCCCCACGGATCGCCTGTTCATGCTACAACCATTCATATTCCTTTTTCCCAGGGGCTATTTGACACATCCTGCTGCCTTGTTTCTCAGCATCACCGGCACCCAACCAGTCCAAACGGTCCTAAGCGGGCCCTGATCCTGTTCGTTGCTTCGTGCCCATAATTTTAGGCGCCTGTGTCGGTCTCCTCACTTTATTTGATGGTCTTTTAATTCCCCAACCCCCTCACTTTCTTTCTTTTCTTTCCTTATCTTCCATTCTATTCCCCCATCTTGCATTCTCTTTCGTTGCCCCTTAGCGCTTTTGCAGCGTGGCCGTGTCGTCATCTCGCTTTGACTGCTCAGCTGCAGGCAACTCGCCGCTTTTTCATCACTATAAGCTCCAACCATACAGAGCTGAAATCACAAATCATCCCCGAAGGCATTAGTTTTCTTGTCTAAAAAAACTTGCCTCCCCATACTTCAGATTTTTACATTTTAAAACTAGCGGTCCCGTCTTCCGATCTTCCCCTTTTCTATCGCTGTTGAACTCCTGTTCTAGACCCCAATCCAACAGTTCAAACTCTGGAAGAACGGGCCAAGTTTCTCCACCCGCCGGGATTTAGTCGCGATAATTATACACTGGCCCGCTCGCCTACACCGCTCGTCCGGAGCTTTTTGCGGATCTTTGAAGGGCGATCCCTTTTTTTCCTTCTCCCTCTGGTCGCTACTCCGGAAATTTTGATGTCGTTGGGCTTGTCCTATCGACCGGCAAATCGGTTGCGAGAGTTGACTGCAATTGTCCGCTCCCCAAATCAGCATACACTTTAGCATACGACACCTCCATTACAATCATGCCTCTCGGTGAGACGGTTACCGTGCTTAACAAGTCCGGCAAAGTAGTCAGCACGGTGCGTGACGGATGCCCATTATTCTCTCCTCGATACTCGAACTGATCCTAACCCTTGACAGGGCAAACACTTATTTGGCGTCTTCGGTCATGCCAGAGATGCATATCGCGAACGCAAATCCCAATTCCAGTCGGAACGCAACGCCAAGATCGCCGAGCAGGAAGCCTTGAGAGGTCTGCAGACTTATACCATCGAAGACGCGCCCTCGGTCGCCTCTTCACGCAGGAGCCGTTCTCGACATCATTCCGGCCGTAGCCATCATCATCGTCACCATCATGAGGGTTCTGAATACGAGCAAGACCTGCATTCTGTGGCCTCGCGCTCGCGCTCCCTCCAGCGTCCCACGGACATGGTCCGCCGCCACACCCATCATGAGATTGCGCTTCGCGAGCCTGAGGGGCGGCAGATGACCGGTCGCTCTCGATCGGATGCCCAAGTGGATATGGACTTGGCATACGGCGATTTCCATCCCTCTGCACTGGAGCGTCAGCCGGACAATCAGCTCCAAAAGATCAATGATCCGGAGCTGAATGGCCTGGTTGGTCGGGCGCAATGGCTCCTGGAGGAGGCCAACTGTGTGCATCATAGTGCAACACATACAATCGCCCACCTCCAGAAGAATCCGGACGCCATGGCGGCCGTGGCGCTCACTTTGGCGGAGATCAGCAAAGTGGCCACCAAAATGGCCCCGGCCGCACTCACTGCTTTTAAGACGGCGGCACCCGGTGTTTTCGCATTGCTTGCTAGCCCTCAGTTCTTGATCGCAGCTGGAGTTGGCCTGAGTGCGACCATCGTCATGTTCGGTGGATATAAAATCATCAAACACCTGCAGGGCGGAAACAACAAGGAGATAAGCGCCCCACCGGGCGACCCAAGTGTTCCCCCAGGTGCTGAACCACAAGAATCGATGGACGACATGATGGAAATCAACACTGAATGTTTGAGCGGCGTCGAGATGTGGCGGCGTGGCGTGGCTGATGCCGAAGCATTCAGCGTTGGCACGTCGGTTGATGGTGAATTTATCACGCCAAAAGCTGCCGCCATGTCCGGCATTGATGTGACGACGGCGCGTATGACGAGAGATCCCCGTTTCAAGTTCGACGACGATGGCTCCGTGGCATCTTCACGGCGGTCCCGTCGATCCCGGGCTTCCCGAGCCCCATCCCGTTACTCCCGAATGGAGCCTATGCCTGAATCATACATCGGCTCTCGGGGAGGCGCTGCGAAGTCTTTCTTTGGAGGAGAGTCGAGGGCGCCCTCTAAAGCTCCCTCGAAGGCCCCGTCCAAGGCCCCATCCAAGTCTCCTTCCAAGGCTCCTTCCAGAGCTCCGTCAAAGGCGGAATCGCGATTCTCCGAGAAAGAAGTGAAACCCGAGAAGAAGAAACGATCAAGCCGATTGCGACTCATGTTTACTGCTTGACCTACGACCTACACGGATTATTGATTATACGACAGACCACACGACCACTGTATATGCTTTTTTACATTCCCATGCCTGCTCTCATGCATCGCCAATGAATGTCTATTATTCTGATCTTATTTATGGCCAGCAACGGAATTGGATGTTTGATGTTCCCACAATGGGATTAGCGAATTGTGCTTTCTTTATCTTTCCTTTGCACTTTGCGCATTTTCGACTTTCCTCATTTGTTTTATGTTCCTCTTCTAAGTTGGTTCCCATTCATCTTGGGCCTCGGCTCTATGGTGTTTGATTGACTTGTCTTTTCTTTTCTTTTCTTTTCTTTCCATTCTTTTTTGCATAGCGGCGTTGGAATGATATCCTTATTTACTTCTTGTTTGAAAAGCTATAAAGCTGCGGTGGTGCCTGGGCCTTGATTACTATAGTTTTCTATCTCTAGAGCTTACTGGAATGGAATATAGAAATGAACCCACAAATATTAGCACATTAGATCAGATAACTATGTATAACCTCAACATCGGATTCTGATTCTCATTAGATGCAAGGCTAAATACATGATCCAAAGCTTGAAAGTGCACGACTCCACCGCTTACTTTGCTCTTTTGTTACTAATCTGAACATCAGGCCCGGCTCAGAACTCCATGCTTGTTTGAGTGCCCCTATCAAGAGACATGCTCTGAAGGTCTTGCTGAAGTGGGTCAGAGATATCGATATTCGCGGCCCGGCTCGCTTCATTGGACCGCTCAAAGCAGGCTTCTGCGTCTCTGGCGATGCCTTTGTATTTGCTAGATCTCGCTAGATATAGAACTCTGTCTCTCCAGAATAGCCATCTCCTGACGCTGAACCCAGAAGTTCTTACTCTGGCATTGACTGCGAGAGGACCTGGTGCGTGAGAGATAAGGGTGTTTTCGGGAATAACAGGGGGGTTTACCGATAGCTCCGCCAGTCTATAGCAGTTGTAATGCATCCAATAGTAACATGGTCCGATCAGTTCCTGAAGCGATAGAGAGTCTGAGTTCGGTCTCTTTAAATCAGATGCGGCATTGTGTCTTTCTATTTCCAACGCCTCGCTGAGCAGACATAGACCACACCAGATCAACTCGTCGGGGAAGATACCTACGTAAGGAAGCAGAGATGTCCAGTTAGCTAAGTAGCTGAGCTGAGATAGTCGTAGCTTGCGGTACTCGCCTGCCCAGTAGGTCTGAATAACCTCCACAAGATAAGGAAGATCGTCCAGAGGCGCTGGCCGTTCGGAAGGATAGCCTCTTCTGGCTCCTCAAATGAGCCACTCCCTTCTTTTGCTCTGGTGATTGTCCCAAGCTGTTTGAACTGTACAATTATGACAACTAATCTCTCGTTGTCCCAATTACCCTTGGCGAGCGCAATGAAACGACTCCAGATCTTGCGGATCGATTGTTCCATTCTCGCAGAACTGATTTTTCGCTCCATAAACTCGTAGCAACAAGGTTGTACATTGTCTTGCGAAGCTCTTTTGCTGTGTCGGCAACGCTTTCTGTGCTATTACAGATAGCAGACATCGTGGTGGTGTATGTGCGGTATTCCCAAGGGGGATGAAAAGGGTAAAAATCTCGGACGAAACTCAGATGTAGAATGAGCTGAAGTAAATCCGAGAAACAAGAAGCTGGAATCTTTCTGTTTTGTCGGTAGATGTTGATGGAAGGTGTTGATGATGATTTATGTGTGTGGTATTCATCTAGAGGAGGATCGTAGGATCCCTATATAGATCCCTGGGGGTTCTACCTACCGGAGGCTTCCGCTAAGATAATGGAAGAACCCGTGGAGGTGCTTGAACAACCTCTCAACAGAAGCAAGACAAATCACTGAGAGGCTTGATGGTAGAGGATGGAGGATGGAGGATGGAGGATGGAAGAGGTTTGCTGGGTTGCGTCTTGTTGAAAAATAAAATGTTTAGGTTAGTTAAGAGGATAGACGTTCCTTTGTCGTCATGGAGCAATTCTAGCCCCTTCCATATTCTCAACTAAACATGAGCAATCTCAGTTCTAGTTCTTCTGTCCATAAGCTTGCTTCCATGTTATACCAGCATTTGCCTAGTGAGTTCACCGGATTCCTGATGAGGTTCTTCCGCGTCTCCCCCGCTCCCGCCTCCCTCTCTCCCACCACCATCTCTTTCTACCAGAGCAGAGCCCAAAGACCTATCGGACTGCATGAATTGTGGCCAGTTTCATCAAAATTAATTATAATGGAAGAGACATGGCCATTGGAGCAGTGATTTGATATGCAAGGAAGGAAAGATTGGCGATGGTGTCTATGTCTTTCACATTCTCTTCATGAGGAAATGTCACTGACAGGATCAACAGGCATCCAATTCTCCATTATATGGTTCCTGAAATATCCCAGTTATATTCTTAAGGGGCATCAGACATACAAAGCAGGTATTTATATTCCAGATCCTTTTTGTTTTGCCTCAACTAAATCTTGATCGGTTTCCCGGCACCGTATCTCTAGTGTCAAGGCCTGGTTGATAATCTTCGTGAACGAATCAAATAATCCGACATATATTGGCGAGGACAAACGGAGGCAGTGGTACCTGGAGAGACGGGGGCAAAAAGACGAGGAGTACTGTACATGCCATTCAGGAGATACGATTACCCCTCCATATCAGGCTGAGCGTCAAGAAAGTCCATTCCAGGAACATGTTGCAATCAGATTGTCTACAATTTCCCCAAAACCACCTCATCCCAGCCATTACGACATGTTTCCGCGGACAAATCTCAGATTACCTGCATTCGGCCACGCGGATAGCATTCGACATCCTTGCAACTAGCAAACAAAAAAACGAGATCATAGCGCTGGGTCGAATTCTGCGGCGGAATTCGCTAGGTTAGCGCGGATGTGCGCATAGAAGGCAGACACGAAGTGACGTCCTTGTGAGCGTGGCTCTCTTTTTTCTAGCTGAGTACCTGCTCAGAGGGGTCGAAATTGCAATATCGACCAGGCAACCCCCTGGATTGCGCGTGACTTCAGATAATAAGGCAATGAGCGCCGAAGCCGACCAGGGACGCGATATCGGATTGGAATAACGGGCTGTGCATCCAATCATGTCACGCATTCGAGAATATTTGTTCTTGGTGATGATTGTTGAGTAGAAAGGAAAGACCCCTCATCGGCGCAGGCTGGTGTCTTGGATTCAGTTGCGTGGATGTCTGATCGGGAGATAGCTGTTATGGACCGCAGGCCCTAAGCAGAGAGCATATCACGGCATCCACGGCCTCGCCCAAATGCCGATATCTCACCTCAGTCACCGGGGGACAAGTTCACCCCAGTCTATCAGGACAGCACCCACATGGGGACATGCGTCGATCCATCCACCGGATCCGCATTGCGTGGGGCCGAACTGGACGTTGGCCTCATATTGCATATCGAGGGTTTTGGCGAGCTGCATCGCCCTTCTCCGCTTCGTAGAGGTGCCTGTTGACTTGCTGGGATTGAGAGTGGCAAAAAGCCCAGTCCTTCGAAGCGACCAGCTCGACACCCTTACAGTCGGCCCTTGCGGAAAGGTCCTTTCTCTACCATCCTTGTTTGCTGAGAGTAAGCGCAGTCGAAACACCCCCTTGTCTCCTTGATCGCGGCTTGGGGGCTGAGATGAGTGTGATTAGGAAGACAAAAGAAAGAAAAAGTAAAGAGGATCGGGGGTGTGCTTGTGCGACATTGAGTAATGTTCACCTAAGCATTGGACGGGAGGGAAAAATGAGTCGTTCTCGGCAATGACCACTGCCGTGCTATGGAGATGATCAAAGTCACCTTTCCCATCATCGACCGACCAAGGTGGGTCTGATCAAATTACCTCGAGAACAGGAATACTGGGGAGGATCCGGGGGAATAGTGCTCGGCAAATAACGCTTCGCTAAAGAGCCGTTGTCCCTACCAGCCATGAAGTCGCAAAAACGGAGCCAGGAGGATAACCGACCGACGCCGAGAGGAGTTTTTTTCCCTTCCATTATTCGGTTCCAACGCCACCGACGGACTCGCAGTCGAGCACGGCACTAAATTGCGTTCTGGCCCAACCTTACCTTCGAGGCATGCCCGTCCATATCCCAGCTCTGCTATTTATCGCTTTATCCTAGCATTTGTCCCTGGAAGGAGTGGAGACCGAAGGATTCTTAGTCTCCGCCATTATTTCCGGTCAAGAAGCTCGGGGTATAATTTCTCATCATTTATAAGAGCCGATGTATCCGGCCTGCTATGATGGAATTTGCTCTTGCTGCTCTTTTAAAGTTCGTCCAGACGAATACTGGGTTCTTGTCCTACGTCTCGAACTTTTTTTCTAACACAATGGTGGCTCAAGCTCGTACCCCTCTTAGGGTGGTGATAGTTGGGTAAGTTCCTGGAAGTCTCTGCTTTTCATCTTCGTCCATTGGCTAATGTCCACAGTGCCGGTATGATTTCTCCTCATCTTTGTCGTGGTACTCTCATATTCACACTTCGAAGGCATCGGGGGTGTGGCTGCGGCCTTGACACTCGGTCTCCGAGGGCATCAGGTCATTCTTCTAGAAGCTGCTCCTCAGGTAAGTACTTCCGTTGATCGAGTCAGATACGCCTGGTAGTTGAACCGTGGCTGACCAATCCGCAGCTTGCAGAAGTTGGAGCCGGCATTCAGATTTCCCCGAATATGCTGAAAATCCTAGAGCGTAAGCTCCGCTTGATGGCCCGACGGCTTTCTACACATTAGACAGTACTAATCCAACCGCAGGATGGGGTGTATCGCCGACAATCCATTCCAAGGACGTTGCTCTCGAGCACATTCACGTCCGACGATGGCAGGATGGAGCCCTCCTCGGAACCATGCCGGTGAACAAGACTTACGGTCAGCAAGTCGTCATTCACCGAGCAGACCTCCACAGTGCTCTCGTTGAGCACGCCCTAGCGCTTCCTAACGTGGAATTGCGACTCAACTCGACCGTGAAGAGTGCATCTCACAGCCCAGCTTCTGTCACGCTTGCAAATGGCACCGTTATCGACGCAGATATCGTCGTTGCTGCCGACGGTATCAAATCGACCATCCGGGATCATATCCTTGGTGGCTCGCCCTCCAAGCCCATCCCTACCGGCGATGCAGCCTACCGCATCATGCTACCCCGGAGTACCATGGAGAACGACCCTGACCTCAAGGAACTTATTAATCAGCCTCAAGCGACTCGTTGGCTCGGTCCATCACGGCACGTCATTGCTTACCCTGTACGCAAGCACGAGCTCTTCAACGTCGTCTTACTGCATCCTGATCGACATGGCGTCGAAGAGTCATGGACCACGCGGGGCTCGAAGGAAGAAATGAAGAATGATTATCTTGGTTGGGATCGTCGGGTCACTAAACTGATCGACTTAGTCCCGGATGATGAAGTACTTGAATGGAAGCTCTGTCTACACAAACCATTAAACACCTGGATCCGGGGCTCCGTAGCCCTCATCGGCGATGCCTGCCATCCCATGCTGTAAGCATTACATCGCCCCCTCCCACACAGTACCATAAACCCAACATGAACTAACCCCACACTACCAGTCCTTACGTCGCTCAAGGAGCCGCCCAAGCAGTTGAAGACGCCGCCGCTCTCGGTGTCCTCCTTTCCGACATCACCTCCCGACGAGAGATCCCACAAGTCCTCGAAGCGTACCAGCTATCCCGCAAACACCGCGCAGAGACGGTACAACAATCCGGCACCGAGAACCGAATCACGCTCCACCTCCCCGACGGTCCGGAACAAGAAGCCCGCGACGAGCAGTTCCTGGCCTCGATGAAGGGAGGCTCTAATCCAGATCGATGGTCGGATCGCGAAACGCAGCGGTTCCTTTGGGGCTGGGATGCCGAGAAAGCGGCTCTAGAGGCCTGGGAGGGTACGTTAATGTCTATTGGACTATTAATTCGGCACTGCAAATGGCTAACTTGATATTAGATTTGAGAAATGGACGTATGACTGAAGCTCGGCATCATTTGTAGGACTTGTATGTGCTGGACACTAACATGAACGATCTATATACTGGCTTTTCTTTTTGAGCGTTGAACTTGATTTGTATTTGTGAGCAGTTTGCTTTTTCGTTGATATCTCTTCTTTCTTATCATGAGACTGTAAATATTACTTGCTATGACTGTTGTCTAAGATATCAGTTTGGATCTTTTCCATGATTTCAACGTGAATGCCTGCTTCCCTTGCGAAATTTCAAAATAGATTAGCTTGCCATGTGTACGTACCATGCCGCCGTCCGGTAGCGCATCAATCAGCGTCGCAATTCATTCCGGCGTTTGCAGAGGTGCAACTTAAATTTATCCAACTTATCTTAAGAAGCTACTTAGATCCGGGAATGTCGAGTTCTCTTCGTTTCAGTGACTCGGGGCGTCAGAGCGCTGGTGGCAACCACTCATTACTGATAAGGGATATGGCGGATAATCATGAGACAGCAAATGTAGAAGTTCCAGGGGTCCTAGGAGGCCTGCGGTGGTCAAAAATGATGAAAGGATCGATCAATACTACTGATGATAGTGATTCAATGAATGGAAGAAGCCTTCCACGGTGTTGCCTAACTGCCTAAGGAGGGCGAAATACTTGGCATATTGCCTCAGGCACCCAAACGCCAAACAGCGAATAGCCAGCTTTTTGCACGGATATAGAAACGTCCGGTTTCATGACCACTCTTTTTACGTGCTCTAGGATCAGTCACCCGTTAAAATCAAAGGGGCGGGGCCCCCGTACCTTCGCAGAGAAACAGTACTACTTATTAAACCAGAGGAATCGGAGCCTACCTTCGGGTCAGAGTTCTCGGACAAAGTGTCCTAAAAAGTCAGACAGGTATAATGATAGGGTCGCCTAGGCCACATCCTATCTTATACGACCGAAACGCGTGGCAGCTAGGCCCCCGAAACAATTCAAGGAGGAATGATCAGATAAGGGTTGAATTCTATGTATACGGTGTTTGGTAGAGATTGATTCTTTTTCCGCGGCAGTCCTTTATACTGATTTATACTACTGATTTAATTTAGGACCCTACCGAAATCAAAAACAATTTTTGTTGTAAAACAGAATCATTCTCATTGACTCTCTTCATCGGTGTTATCGTTGTCCCTGTTATCTTCATCTTTATCATCTTCCTCGTCGCCTTCGTCCATTTCTTTATCTTCGCTCTCATCTGAACCCAGACATATTGTCATCCTCCTCGTCTGTCTCGTTTTTTTACTCTTGCTTTCTCCCACTGCACGCCCGTTACTTCTGCATATCAGACTCGGCTCGCAAACAAATGGCCAAAAGATACTTGCCCAGGTCGCGCATATGTGCTGGCTTGTTAGTTATCCAAGGGCCGTACTGTTTCATGGTGAGGAAGTGAAGGTCGGGATCTGAGCTAGAATGGCCCTTCAGACAATTGATGTACTTCTCCGTATACTCAGCAAAGGTAATATAGATCTCATCTCTGTCCTGCGAGATATGAAGACGACTACATCTGTCAGCTAGAACGACAGCCAAATATATCTGGAGTATGAGGGAGCATTGATGCTTACCGACCAGGTAGATTTAAACGCCCATCTTCATCAAGAACGCTCAGTATCCACGCAACCATCTGAGCTGCTTATTGCATGCAGATATTGATAGCATCCTTTTTGCGAAGCATTGCCTTAACTTCGACCAACGCGCGAACCTTATTAACCGGAGATTTATCCTCGAGGTACCCGTCGACACGTGCCTCAAAGGATCCATGGTTGAATTGAGCCTTAAATGGCTTCCGGTGCACCGTCCATCGATCGGGATGGAGGGGGGGTTCAATAGAATTTCAGGGGTTATTGGTTCCTAGGTATTGGACGGCATGGGTATTTGTTGCACTGCGTTTATAGTGTGACTGCAAGGATCGTTTGGTTATTTCGTTTACTTTTAAAGGTTTCGGGTCTTGTTTAAGCTATATCTGCTTTTATGTTTACAGAAGCAACCTTTGTACTGGGAGAATTGTTGTTCAAATGAGGTGAATTCAGAGTGCCTTGTCCAGAAAGGAGAGAAGTCTCTAACAAAACATTATCGATAGCCAAGTGAGCCATACAAGATGATCACAAAAATCAAACAAGCAGCTCAAAATCAAATAGATTATGGTATCTTGAACAGGATAAAACACGCAGATCATACAGCATAAACAAGCCAACGAATCAAATCAAACACAAAATAAACAAAGTCATCTATCGCAGGCAATATATGCAAATGTGTAGCGCAGCAGCAGCAGCAACATTAAATTACCAGATTCGTTTAGCAACCATCTCATACCGCTGTACATGGTCCAAGTTCAATTCCTCTTTCGCGTTCTTGTCCTTTTCTTCTTTCTTCTTGATCCGTTGGAGTCCGTCCGGGTCGTCGACGTAGATCCAGTGTCGGTGGTCATCGTTCACCTCGACGACGCCCCATCCTCCGACGCGTTTGCTGCCGTCGACGGCGAACTCTCGGCCGCGAGAGGGGCCGCCGTTTTCGGTGGTTGCGTGGGTAGAGGATGTGGATGATGAAGCCTGCTCTGCCTCGCGGTATTTCATTGCCTTGTAGCGAGTTCGGGCATAAACTAGTAGGACCATGCCGAGGAGGAGTTTGAAGATCAGGAGCAGGACAAAGCCCGTGAGTAGAAGGACGATAGTGAAGAGGTACACGGCTTGGGCGGGCGTAGGCATGGCGTTTGCTAGCATCTGTCGGAAGAAGGTCCCTGCGTGGGCTGCCGACACTGGCAGGATTGTGCGAATGGTTAGGGGTGGAGGCGAGGGGATCGGAAGAGGTGCGTAGTGGCTGTGGATTGAGGACAGGGAGGTGGATGACACGGCTGTTGATGATGGGTGCTGTGGGAGTAGGGCCGCGAGGAACATGTGGTATGTCTGCACGGAGACGCGGAAAAAGAGGCACGATAATGGAATGACCGGCAGGCCCAGCCGCCGGGTGAGGTTCTGATCCCCAAAGGCATTAGTGTAGTAATCTTTGGCCAAGATGTCCAGAAATCGGCGGTAGATAGCGGGTCGCGTGTTATTGAATTTACTGATATAGGCGTGTTTCAGCCAGTCAACCAGCATTTCCGAACCTAGTACGACTAGGAATGGGCCGAGTACCTGGGCTAAATTCGGGAGGAATGAGTTCACATGGCTAAACGACGCCACAATCGATGACGGAACGATAGTGAATGACTGCGGGAGGATCGATGTGGCCGTGCGCGGTGGAGTGGAGAGCGGAGTGCTATTTGTGGCAGTAGATGCGTACGTGCCGCCAAAGCTAGCACCGAGAGTACCAAAGAAGTTGAAAGCGCCTGTCTCCACGATGTTCCGAGATGCGATGATCGTGAGCATAAGCCAGAGCTGGAACCGCTCCACCACGTCCGCGCAGGTCAGTTGGAACAAGTTCTCCTTTTCGAACTTCTTGAATACCGTTGACTTAATCTCAACAAATTGGTTTGAGAGAAGTAGGGTAATCAAGGCATTCGAGTAAGAGTTCACCGCTACATTCAAGGTCATGACCTGGAAGAAAAGCGACGTAGAGTGGATGACAGTGTATGCAAGGGCCAGCAGGAAAAGCCCGAATGGACGAAACACCTTACTTCGCCCATCGGGACGGCGCTCTAATGCCTCGCGTGAGAAAAGGCACTCGAGCACATCTTGCCCAATAGCGCCGAAAAGTCGATCGCTGACTTCCAATACGTTGTAAATAACGTATAGTTTGATTGCGGCCTGTCCCCGAATCCAATGATACATTCGGCTTGCATCGAAATACATCAAAACTGCGCACGTGGTGATCATGAGAAGACCATTGAGTATGTCGGCTTTGTCATCTGGGAGCAATGCGGATGGAACAGATTTCTGTCGGCGGTGCTGATGCCTGTGCTGGATGTCATTTCGATGCCGCCTGCGGGTATCTAAAGCTCGCTTGAAGTCCCGCTCTATCGGAGCCTGCTCCTTTCTGGTCGAGGTTGCACGAGCTCTTGTCTCCGATTCGGATCCATTCAGCTGCTCGTGGGTTCCATCTGGCGGAGGTCTCGTTCGTCTCCTCCATACTCTTCCGACGCCTTTGACGATAAAGCCGGATAAATACCGGAGTTCCACGCCTAAATTAGTCATCCAAGACTCCATCAACATATACAACGCCTTGATAAAACGCAAAGGAAGTATGGTGAAGGAGTAAAGCCAGGAGTCTAAGCAGGCTAATATTCCGAACCAGAGCACTTGCTCCAATGCCGGCGGGAGTATCAAGAAGTTGACGAGTCGCTCTAGCTTAACACGCGATGACTCGTATGGAAAATCGCTCATTGCAGAACGGTGAATATACAGTGGAGATGGCCGGCCTGAGGCGAGTTCCAGCTGCAGGTATGTCGGAACCGATAGAGGCGGTAAGGGTATGGTAGGTGGCATGGGAGATGGAATTCCTGGCTCGGCCTTTATCGACGAAGGGTTGAGATGTCGTCCATCCGATTCCTTGCCGATGGTAGGTCGATCTTGCCTCGCTCGAGAGGCCCAGGTTTGAGCCAGCCGCTCATTCGAAGGCAGTGTTTGGCGCCGCATGGAATTTGGGGTAGAAACAGCGCGGGGCACTGGTGGTCGCGGTCGAGATGAAATCGAGGGCTTTGTGACCAATCCCGAGACAAAATCCACTGTTGTGGCTTTATTTGGTCGGAGCTTGGGAGTATGTTCCGGGGAGCCTTTCAAGTCATTCAGCGTATACGAGCCCATCTCCGCGGTTTGTTCGTTGGCAACTGGTTGCGAACCCTCCGAAACCACTCGTCGAGACTGCTCTTCCGCAGTACGATAAGGAATCGACTGGGGCGAGGACGTAAGTTCATGTATTTTGGCGGGCGATAACTTCGGAACACGGTCGAGATCCCTATCCGGATTATTCCTAGATGGCGACGATTCGATTTCTCCGGACCACTGATTTGAAGCGTTATCAAAGTCCTGCGAGTGTCCAAAAAGTCCCAATGGCTGGTCGGAAGATAGTGACGGCTGACCGCCTTTTCGGTCACCGTTCATAGCGCGTTGGCTAGGGGATTTGAAGTGATAGTCATTGTGGGGACTAGAAATGACACCATTCTGCTGTAGACTGGAAGCAGTCTCTAAAATCTTCCGACTCTGGGCCTGATCCCCTAAGGTCGGACTTTCAAAAGTGGCTGCAGATCCCTCCGGTGGCGCATGATTTCCGGCGCCGTTGACCAATTTCTCCTGCATTTGACTTTGGCTCTGATCTGTATGTGGTAGGGAGCGCGGTCGGTAGTTCCAGGCCGGTTCCAACGTTTTGCCATCTTCTGCGACGCGTTCATGGCCTCGTGTAGCGCCCTGGGGGGTTGTGGACACGTTGAATCCCGACCCTGCGGCGAGGTCCTGCGGTTGCGGTCGCTTCACCGGGTCGCCGTGAGCCGTATTCATTGTCGGTGCCGTGGAGAGTTCTGAATGACCATTCGAGAGAGGAGTCGAGTCTTTGCGATCGTTGTTCAGCCCGTTGGGATCGGCTGGGGAAGGGAGGGAGCGGGAGACACCATTGCAGGGGGCGGAGATATCACCCATGCGGGACGATTCGATCGAAGGCACGGCGAAATCGAGCGGACAGGCGTCTTAATGCGGGCGCATAGTTATGTGATCGAAGAGCAGTCTGCAGGAAACGTAAGACTGGGCTTGTCGCAAGAAACACGGAGTATTCCGGTGTAGAAGAATGATGGATGGATGATGCTGGGATCATCGCCCCGACTGACCGCCCTGTCACATGACCCACTTGTCCGCCTCGTGTCTCCACCCGTCCGGCTTCCTTTCGTTGACAAGACACTCGGTGTTTAGCATGTCGATCTCGGTCCCTGATTATATGAAGGGCATGATACATTTGTTGATCATGACGGCTGATTTTGATATTGCCATATATGTGCGACACCATCAGTCGCGATACGGAGAAGCAGCCCCTGACCAGGTCTGCTCATGCAACGGCGGTCAAAATACTCAATTTTTGGACGACCAGCCCATTACTTTATCGTATCTCCACTGCCGGCATGTCACTTCTGAGTAGATTTTGGGTTGATAGCTGTGTACAAAGCGCCAGAAAGTGTATAACTGCAACAATTTTGAAACCTGACTTCGCGCCCAAATCCTCCCATACAGTAAGTTACACCCACAGCATGTCTCATGATTCAAATCCGCCTCCGTCCCTGTTATCGAGTAGGCCTTACAAGGCTAGCTACGGGGGTTAGATGGATAATGGGAAATTTCGAGGAAGTCGGGATACACCAAAAAGGGAAAGAAAAAATTAAAGGCGCCAACCAGGATCGATGGTGTCTTTAGAGCTCTAACTTATTCCATATATTTTTCATAGATCCATCCATGTTTTGCATCAAAGTCTAACGTCCTAACCACTAGACAATGGCGCCCGAAGGTTGCCCTCCTAGCAGTATATTGAATCATATACTTCAGATAATCATTTTGTATAGCTAGGTTGTGGTAGAGACAAATGAAGAGGTGAAAGACATAGAAAGAAGGGTGAGTGCCACCACCGTAGTTGACTGGCGGGTTTACAGCATTGCCTTTTACAGGCGAAAAGCTCGAATGATGAAAAACGTCACGGTGTCAGAGACCTCCCCTTAGCATTCTGACGTCAGATCAGCTCAAAGCATACATAGAAGGGAGAACGTATTGAAGCCGCCTGGAGGCTAGTTCGATCTGTGGAGACTACTTGCTAGAGTATTCTTCTTTTTTACGTGGACTGTCTTCTTTTGGAGGATCAGGCGATCTATATGAACTTTTTCGACTGGATGTTCAAAACATCACGAGAGAAACTGCTTCAGTCGTATGATGAATACTGGCGCCGCCTTTGTCAATACGTCGAGCTGTTCGCCCGCTGCCGCGTCAGTGAGGATGCCCGTAAACAGATGCGACAAGTAGGTATTGTCCTTTACGTTTATAAACAGAGCATGCTAATCCTGAAAAAGTTTCTCGCAGGTGTATTTCCAGCCGAACGCAGAATCCCGCGACGAACGAAGGACAAAAGCACTCTAGATGTAGATGTTTTCTGTGTGATTTACCAGCATCATTGGGTTCATTCGAAATTCTTTCGTCAGATCGTTCAGTTTGCTACAGTCCAGCTCTGGTCCGCCATTACTGGCACAAGATCTGGCGTCTTGCTTCCGCAGAACACCTCATTACCTGGCAATCCAACTTTGGGCAAACGACAACGGGATGGTACCTTCCAGAGTGACCTGCCCAAGCATATCTCCTTGAAAGATCTTCCGGACTCGGTCTGCTATCGCGATATTAAACTTTTCTACTTGAAAGACCCTTAAAGTAAACGTGATGTCCTCTGTGCCATCATCGAGTTTCGTAATCTCAAAGGTCGACCGGAAGGCGCTGATGGGTAATGCAACAACCATCGCTAAGAACCTCAAGCTCGGCTGCCTAAATCCTCAGGCAGCTAACGCCCAGTGGCTTGGTCAGCTACCCACACAAAACATCTCTGTAACCGCCGTAGTTAGTCTTGTTCCTTCTCCACGCTTAGAATTCAACATATTTCTCGCCTACGAGCTTGCTACGTGGTTGGAGAAGGGTTGTAGCACTATGGACTGATTGCATCTGCAAACCAGGTAGTAAAAAACGGCAGACGGCGAGACCAGCTGGCTCGAGACCTAGGGGTCCTCTGTGTGGAAATGGAAGCTGCGGGGCTCATGAATGACTTTCCATGCCTAGTTATTCGGGGCATTTGTGACTATGCTGACTCGCACAAGAATAAGGAACGGCAAGGGTATGCGGAAGCGGTGGCAGCGGCCTATGCCAAAGAGCTTGTCTTACTGGTTCCGATCGATCAGGTTGAGAATACTCCAACAGCACGAAACCCTCTAGCAGACTCTGGTGAGAAATTCTAAATCTCAATCCGGCGCACTTCTTACCTAGCTCGGATCGATGACTAAATAAAGTTTTCTATATGTAGTTCATCGCTTCGCGCGAGATCATAGAGATGATTTTACGGCGATCTTCTGGCTGAGTGGCAAGGATCCGGGATACGCTCTTGCAATCGTTGAGCTTTGCCTTGAACCGATTACCAGGACAGGGTTGGGATAGCGAGGCGACTAATGACGGAGAAGTGGAGCAACGAGCCAGACATATGTTACGGTGGCTAGCATTGGATGGCAACTCGCGCTGGCTAATCATTTTCGACAACATCGATCAATACTCCCTTTTCAACAGCGCTGTTGGTGATGGATATGATATTCCAGAATTCTTCCCTACAGTAGACCATGGCTCCATCCTCATCACCTCTCGACTCCAACGGTTGACTGAGCTAGGAAGAGCCTTTTCCGGTCCACAAACTTGACACTCTTCACACGATCCGACTACTCCTGCAAAGAAGTGGTCTGTCAGCAAAAAGCACTACAAGAAAGCTTGAGAGCAATCCAGGTACTAAGGCCCTCGATCGATAGATGTTATAGACTATGCTAACATATTTAGATCTTCTTGCTTTTGCCAATCGTCTAGATGGACTGCCTTTAGCCATTGTTATCGCAGGGGCGTTTATGCGTGAAACTGGAAGCAGCATCATTGAGTACTTGCAGTATTACCAAGAATCTTGGTCTGAGCTACAGCTGCAATCGAATCCTGGACGTCAGTACCAGCAAGGCAATATGCTGCAAACATGGACGATCTCATATCTTGAGATCCAGAAGCGTGACCCAAGCGCCGCAGACCTTCTATTGCTACTTGCTCGTTTTGATAATCGTGACATCTGGTACGATTTAGTGAAGAGTGGCCGTCACAGCTCAAACGTCCCGGAATGGCTCAAAAAGGCTACATCAAGCGGACTCGCGTTCAAAATTGGTGTGAAGTCTCTTATTAGATTTTCTCTTCTTGAGAGTAAGCAACGAAAAGGAAGCTTTGCGATGCAACCAGCAAGAATGGTGCGTCCATATTGCCAGCACGAGCAAAAATATGAATTCAATTCAGCTCAACGAGCTTGCGCTGATATCCGTCGGATACTCTATCCCTAGTAAAAGGGAAAGAAACTATCTAGAGGTTCAGCGACGGCTTATTCCACACGCGAAGTATCTACATTATCGAGATTGGTCGGATGACAATATTCCAGTATGGAGCGCATTCCATGGCTTAGGGATCCTCTACTCCGATCAGGGAATGCTGAAGCGGGCAGAGGAGATGTACGAGCAAGCTCTGTCAGGCAAGGAGAAGGCCATAGGTCCAGATCATACGTCTACTCTCGATACGGTCAACAACCTCGGTGATCTCTACCAGGGTCAGGGCAAACTAAAAGAGGCTGAAAAGATGCACCAGCGAGCAATGGTAGGCAGGGAGATGACCCTAGGTCCAGATCACTTGTACACTCTCCGAACAGTCCACAATCTCGGGAATCTCTATACGGATCAGGGAAAGCTAAGAGAGACAGAGGAAATGTACCAGCGAGCACTGGCAGGCCGTGAGAAGGCCCTAGGCTCAGATTACACCTCTACTCTCAATACGGTCCACAGCCTTGCTGTTCTCTATGAGGATCAGGGTAGGCTGAAGGAGGTAGAGGAGATGTACCAGCGAGCTCTGGCAGGGTATGATAAAGCCCTAGGTCCTGATCATACATCTACTCTCGACACAGTCAACAACCTTGGTAATCTCTACTCTGATCAGGGCAAGCTGAAGGCGGCAGAGGAGATATACAAGGAGAAGGCCCTGGGTCCAGTTCACGATAGGACTCGGTGATTTGTAGAAAGGTTGAACGCATTAAGCCATGCAGATGCAAAATGATGCCTAATAATTCTGTGTAATAACTTTTGGAAATGATTCCTTGTGAAGTACTAGGGTAGATCTGGCTTGCCGAAACAAATTGTATGTATTCATGCTACAATGCTCACTACCCTTTGCCACCGTCGCATTTTGAGATCTAGTCAGTCTTTAGCTATTGTTGTATCATATGTATATTCATTTCTAGGGATCAAGCTTTCGAGCGATCTTACGGTAGATCAGGATGTTTATTTGAGAGTTGCAATGACGTGATGGTGAGTGTGGTATTGTCATCTCAGAGCCGTAAATAATATTGGACATGCGCTTTGACTAGCAGTCACTGTTCCCAGAGCCGTGGCCCAGGTTCCCAAATAGCTCACGGGCAGTGGAATATAGGCCAGCTAGGCTCTGTATCCATTAAGTGGCGACCAGGTCGCCTTGCTGCTTCATACAAGATGGTTCGAAATCAGTTTCACCACTTACTCCGAGAGATTCTTTCTCGAACGCTTTTTCAAAATACGCTAAACCTATTACTGTACACCTGTAAATAACAGGATAAAAATAGCATCCGCATTGATGCTTGTATGGCGGTGGCCTTGAGATACTAAAGATACGATCAGGCAATCAAACGTGTTCGACCTTTACTCAGCTTCATTTCGTTCCTGCTGAACTCTCCTCGCTCGTTCTTGCCTTCTATTTTTAGCATCATCTCGTTCTTTCAGATTTCGTTGTGCTCTCTCAATTCTCTTTTTTTGAGATTTCTCGATTTCTCGTTTTGCTAACTGAACCTCGCCTGGCGAGCCGCTTTCGCGTCTGAGAAATCTCGAGATCTTCAATCATCCTCCCAATATTCTCTAGTCTTCTTTCCATTGCAGCATTTTGTAGTTCGAACATATGTCGAACATTCGTCGTCTTTGCTTCTACTAACGAATTACTTGGGCTAGATTAATCGCTCTACTGCTTAGGTGGTTGATACGGAGCTACTTCTAGGATATGGGGGGGCCTGATATCCCAGAATGTGTTGAGAAACTGTTCTAACTTGTAAGCACATAGGATTAGCCATCTCGATGATCCGTGGAGAATAGCTTTTAGCATACCTGTCTACCAAAAGCTTTTTCGAATTCTATTCCCCCAAACGTTTCAATATTGCTAATACATTCTGTGCACTCTTCGCATATTTGCCCATAGTTGCCGCGTTCACCGCAACCCGGTGCACAGCACAATGTCGGATTGGCCGAATCCCATGTAAATTAGAGCAAAATGATTCACGTTCTTTTTCCGATATGCTACAAGCCTGGAAAGTTACTTTGTGATGGAAACAAAAGTATTCGGTGACCTTTTCGGAAAGCCGACTTGGTTCTGCCGCCTCGGGGGAAGACCAGTAGCATTCATCGACCAAGCCCGGAGCTACCGTGCAGCAAAACTGATACAAGAAGAACTCTAGCTGAGTTTGCCATCGACAAAGAAGTTTGTACCTTCCTTGAAAGCTGTGCAGAATTAGGTGCTTGCAATTTCACCGGTGGAATTCAACAGTCTTGCCTATCAGCCATTGTAAATGCATTATCCGAACCTGGGTCCGTGTGGCTGGTCAACACCATCTTGGTTTGCAAGGTTGCAAAATGAGATTTCCAATCTTTCTGTAGAGGAAAAATAGTGAAAGAACTTTTACCTGCAAATGGTTCCAATAGGAAAGGGTTAGTTACAAGCCGAAAAATCGTTGGGCGCCACTCCAATCAATGACGTGAAGACTTCAGGAGCGAGCTCTGGGGCCAACGTCATGGTGGTATTTACGGTACATAAAACCTAGTCTGATATAATACTGTTTTCGATACGATTCGACGATTGAAATCAAGCTAAGACATAGATAGACTGGCGTGTTTGCCAGCTTTGCGGTTCCTAAGCATGTGGACTGTCTCAAAGGCCAGCATGGGTGTTGGACCAGAACCTCGGATCTCGGGACAGTAGGAACTTACCTGGGAGTAGGGACACACTAGAGAGTAGGGACACACTGAGGAGTAGGAACACACTGGACGGCAAGCCTTACTGCGGGCGTTTTGGATTATCTGGTACTCCTTTCTCCACCTTGAAGTACTAGGCCCTTGCAAAACGTGATACCATCCTCAATACTCAATACATGTCAGGTCAATGGCATAAACGGTGTGAGATTGTTGGCACAGCACGAAATGATAGTCGATCTCTGACTAAAGGATTTTGAATTGGACTGCTCAGCGGCCAAGTTGATGATGATTGTTGTCTTGTGTGGCTGAAACCGAATACCGTAACAGACTTCTATCACATTGACTGCTTTGAAGAACACTTGGACCTATCGTCGCCAATGTATGCCTCACGATTTAGGCCCGATATGATATACTTTCCCGGCAGTATGGAACTCCATATATTGAAAGAATATGTTCGAAGATGGATGATCCGAACCGGCATTAAGGTATGTACACCAAGCCCTGGATTTTGGATAAAGACATGTAGACCCCTCATGCGAATCTATTTTGTACACCGCTGGAAATCTCCGGAAATTGTGTACACTTTCTAAGATGCGATGTGATCAAATCTGTTGGAACATGCATGCCAGATATGCATCATTGAATTTTGCCTGCCCCGCATTGTCTCGCTTCATTATCATTTTCACCATATCTCTTTAACAGGAGCATACTAAAGTGGGCATCATAAAAAAGCAATACCCTTGCACAGGTGGGGTAGCTCTGACGTATCATAAAACGGCAGCAATATTCAGAAAGACGGTGCATGATAGCAAAGAGTGGTCAGAAAGAAGGCTCAAATCGAGCACGCAATCCTAAGCCTCGACATTCTCTCCGCTAGCTCCCTAGAAAACTTAGTCTCTAGCCCTGAACACCTTACGACACCGGCGTACAACAAATTTGGCTAGTCGCGGTCATAAAATCCAACTTATACCATAGATCACGGAGGCTAACTTTTTAAGTTCCCGGATTCTGTTGACTCGTTATTGTGTGTTCCTTGAAAAAATTAATCGGCCCTTCCCAAATGTGTCCCTATTCCCCAGTGGGTTAGGCCAGCCCCCCCGAGCCCAGTGTAGAGCTCCCAGACACGATTTTACCTGCAAGCACAGCTTCCGGAGGACTTGTTGCTCCCAGATGAGAACAATGTAGCCCTAGGAGGCGGATATCACGACTGTGACAAACCATGGGTGGTGCTTTTACTCTGTCACGACTCCAAGGGGGAGAAAGGACCAACAGACCAATCATAGACTTGATGAAAGATGTTCAGTATCATTGGTTGGCTGCTACTCCTTTCTCTACCTTGGAGTAGCCAAGTGCTCGCCTCCAGGTCTGATTGGCCCTTATCTCCTTGTCCTGAATGTCTGGTTCGTACCAAAGCTAGCTGAGAATCTGCTATCCCTGCAGCTACTTGATCGGGCCGGCTATTCAACCCTCATTGAAAATGGCCCTCAAACACCAACCCAGCTCAAGGCAGGTCGACCAAGCATGAGTTCATTCCCCTGGTGGCGGTATACTCTCGAGGGTGTTTGCCATGCTTAAAGCGCAAGATAGATTTTGTTTGTCCATGCCTATATGGCCATGTTTATGCAGCCCGCAGCCGTAGCACTCTAATCGCCATTTGAGCATCGGCCCATTAAGCTTCTTTCTAATAGTTCGTGGCGCATGGCCATTCAGCTCGAAATTTCTCAACCTGACCTTGGCTCTTCCCATGTAGAAGATTTTCTTCTCAGAGTGCAGCGCTCATCCACTGCGCTAAATTTTCATGTTGGCTAAAGTTAGGAGTGGTTAATTGTTGGAACAATATTGCCAACCAGGCCAGAGAGGTGGAGTATCCTGACCTAATCCACATACCGCACAGCACCTTGCTTGGCCTAGACTTGGCCTACCATTCCAAATGGCATACCAAGGGATCAGGAATGCATAGGTGTAAACAAGTGGAACTATAAATGGCTAGGCAGATTGTAGTTTAGAAATGACACTTCACTTTTACCCACCGAGCATATACCTACATTCCGTTGAATCGATAGGATATCTGCTTAGGGCAATGACCAAGTCAACCGACAATTATCCATCTAAATCATAACAGTAGAGCAGAACCGTGCACGCTAACCCCCACCGACAAACGAAAGTCAAATCCGCCATCAAAAGCTTTTACATACAGCCACTGTCAATGATACAGTCTGATGACATTAGTATTTAACCACCCTCTATTAGACTAACTTATTCGAGTTTAGTTGACTTCTGTACTATACGAGTATTATTTTTCTTCTGACACGAAGCTCTACTGGTGATCTCAGGAGCAACATGGTTCCCAGGGCCAACCTACAAAGTCCTGGAGAATCCCTGATATCAATTCTAGTGGCTCTGCAGACGATATGATCGATGGTCTTATTGGATACGAGCATAATATTCACTGAATTTTATCCTCTGTTTAACGTATCGCTAAGGAGAACTGCATACATATATTATAGTGCGCCTTGGAGGGCTTTAACAGCAAACGCTGTCGTGGTGCCCCGATTTCCAACCACTTTCCTGTCCGTTGGAAATAAATACATTGCAGATGGCTTCCAACCCCCATCTGCCTGCTGCATGCTGGCAAGTTGTTCTTTATCCGGACTATTCTCGATCCTCAAAGAATCACAAGCTAGCAAACGCATACCCAGACAGAAGGCATCACCATTGACTCCTATACGCTCAATAAGGCGTGTTCTGAGAGGAGCTTCAAGTCTCTCCCTGAGACTCAGATCTTTTGAATAAGCTAGTAGTCGAGTCGCATAGTAGAGAAACCACTCGGGACTCTGGTAGTATCGAGTTCCATGGATGTACGCTCGATTGAGTAGGATATTCTGAATCCAGTCCAGTGTTTGAGGAAGCTCGTAGCCTCGCCCGTACTTATAGAACGCAGTAAGGACATTTAATGCGATTACTGCATCCACTCTGGGTCTGGATTTGTCGGTGTATACCTAGCCCGAGTTAGTGGCCCGCTAATAATTAAAGTTAAGGGCCGGGCCGTTTTATACCTGCACGAATCCGTCCTCATTGACATGATTGAGTATATCATCGAGAATAGAGTGCGCAAGCTGGGCCTCGTAATTCAATACGACAAGGGCAAGAGCTGTCGTATCCATATCATCTGGATAGACTTGGCTTGTATATTTCGGCTTGCCTGAGAAGAAATTCCAAAGCCGAGGCGGGCGTCTCAGATCTACAAGACTCCTGGTTACCAGTCAGTGAGAGACAATCAGCGGGGCTTGAGTGCACTTACTCGTCCTTTGTGACCTCTAGAATAAGAAGCTGGGCGTAGTTCTCGTCGATAGAGTCACCTTCAACAGTAGTAGAGTAAAGCTCTCCAGCATTTTGTCGCAGAAATGCAAGTCCGCGTTCAATAGGGTCACCAACAAAGTTTTTGAGTGTTCGTGATAGATCAATGGTGCCGACAATCCCGCGAATCCCGAGAGACATTGCCGCGAGCACGTTCTCTGGCTGGTCGTCGATAAGAAGGGTTTTCCGCGGTGCAGCACGCGTTGCTCGTAGCACTTGCTGATAAAAGCGTAGACTAGGTTTTCGGACACCTAGCATCCACGAAGTAAATATATGGTCAAATGTACTCCAGAAAGAGTCATCCCATCGACGGCGAAGGGCATGATACTCTGGCTCAGAAATGTTCGAGACGAGGGCAATCGTTACTCCTGGAGTTTGCTTGATTTCTCTGAATATAGAAAGCATGTTTCCGTCATATGTCAGAGTCTCGCGGAGATTGGAAACTATTGCTCTCAAGCTCTCCACTTGAATGCCATACCGGCGTGCTACCTGTGCGAAGCATTCATCCTCACCAATCTTTCCGATCTCGTAATCCATCCAAAATGACGATGAGAGGACTCTTCCCAGACTAATGCTTGATTCCCCGGCTGCCAGTTGATAACCCACGGGAGGATGCACGAAGATACCCCCTAGATCTACCAATATGGTTGTCTTAATGGATTTCACGCCATTGGCGCAAGTCATTGTGTGTATGTTGCGAGTTACCAGGATTGATAGATAGTGGAAGAGGACTTTTCAATGTTAGAAGCGGAAGGTAGACGGGTTCTTCGAAACGGAACAAGGAGCGGGGCAGAATTTTCCCGTCGACGTACCTGCCAGCTTTATATAATGGTTGAGAACTAAGATAACGAGAAATTTCACACTACTAAGTTTTTGGAAACTATATGATATGTCAAATAAAAATGGCAATGTACGCCTACTTTTTTGCCGTAAGTCCAAATGTGTAAGTTTCAATGATCGCCCAAAATAGCCATACGGAACACTTCGTATCGTTATTATCCCAATGGTATCACTAGTAGAAATCCATAGCACCACACTATGTAGCAATGGAGACAGATCACATTTTATGCCCCACATCTGTGTGTGATGAACCGTCAGGTGCATCCTGTCTAAGAGGTAAACTGCACGCTCCCATATCAGGACATGATCGACGAATCCACCAACCACCTGCAATAACATGAGTGGCCAGTCCACTGGAACTTGTTTGGGAGAAATTCGAGACTTAATCTTGGGTTTCCCTCAAGAACTTTGTTTAATGAACTTATTTTAATGTAAAATTGTAAATCCGTTCAATCGTCTTACTTCGCTTCCATCCTAATACCCAGAGACCCAATCAAACAAGACTTTTGAGGCGCCAGAGTACCATAAAATAGTTCAGTAGAAGAGAACGTGGAAGAGAATGATTAATTCTATGCGTCCAATCTCTCTAGTTCATGTGATAGGCGCGCCACTTGACGTTACATTGCTCGCATGATGCAATATGGCTTCTTTGAGGCAATAGTTACAGCCAGAAAAATTCTCCATCCCTCCTGAGTTGGGTGCATGGAAAACACTTTGCAAAACAGCAACAGTAAAGTTGAAGCACGCTCACACGAAAGCTTTACATTGAAACGATCCATGTTATATGACGTGATCTTCATGATCCTTTGGTGATCGCCAATCCCTCAGTTTGGAGAGCACATCTAACAAGAAAGACAGATGCCTGTAGGTAGGGATCTTCGATTTGGATCTGGTGGAACCGACACCGTGGATCGACCAATCCTTGGCAGGACTCTGTGCGGCACAAAGAAACTCAGCCAGCCTCCTCACTCATGACTATGCTATGTCACACCTCCATTCTCGATCTTCGAGCCGCTATCTTAGGAAGGACTGTCTGACGTTCCTGAGTCGAGATTACATGCATCATTTGGTGTTTTCTGTGGACCTAGGTAGTCATTCCTACGTTACACGAATACCACACACCGTAGTGTATGCATGGTAAAAGGTAGATTTGAAGTCAAAATAGATTAGCGGACGAGTCACAACCATACAGCATGGTGCCGCATCTGAGAGTATCCATACAGCAGAATTTTACCGAATGGCCCAATATATTTCTTTAGAGTCCCTGCAGACTATTGACAGTCAACGATTTCCCTCCTGCCAGCCTCCAAATAACGTTAATAAGTCACCCTAGCTTAGCAGTTTACCAGAAGAAGGGAATCAAAATGGAAAAAAAAGTCCAGACAACCATCAACTTCATTCCCGCCAACCTTCCCGTCAGAACTATGAACGGCACTGCCGACTTCTATGGCCATGCAAGCAACAAGCCATCCGTAACAATCCACGACGTCCGTGGACAGGAAGATGAATTCACTCTATCGAAAAACGGTTTCCAATATATCACTCATACCAGTGCGTACATCCCGATAACAGACTCCTCGAAGATTAAATTGGATTTGTACGCGGAGGTAGCGGAGTTGTTAAAGAACACGTAGGTTTACGGTCTCTCCCCTGAAAGTTGCACTGCTATACAGATATTGATATGAGCACGAAAAGTATCACCCCCAAACCAAGCTACATAAAAGTAGCCTCCCACACAATCCGCTCCTCCCTCACCGACCTCAACAGCGAATACACGGGGACGCCTGGTCCCGCACGAGCCGCGCACCTGGACCACACTCCCGTAGGCGCAAAGAACTATTTTCATGAAAAGGTCCCACACGAGGACGCGTCCGACTTGCCCAGACACGATGGGCGATTATCAATGTCTGGCGCCCACTTAAAACTATCAAGGGGGATCCGCTCGCTGTCTGTGATGGGAGCACATTGCGACCAGGTGATTTATTGCCTATTCAGATGGATTATTCAAGCAATGCGTGGGCAAAAGCGCTGGGAGGGGAGAAGGGATTAAGGACGACAGTGGGTTGGGAGATTGCGATGGCGAGGTACAATACGGGACAGAGATGGTATTATTTGTCTGACATGGGGGTTGAGGAGGTGCTTTTGATGAAGATTTTTGATTCAGAACTTGTAGGAGGGTTGGATGAAGGGCGTGTGGCGGTGCATGCGTCTTTTGAGCATCCTGGTGCCAAAGAAGGAGAGGCAAGAGAGAGTATTGAATTCAGGTGTTTGGCTTTTTGGGCGGATGAGTCGTTAAATGTTTAGAAAGGCTGTCTAAGTGCCCAGAGGTTCTCAATATAATTTAAACCCGGCGAATAATGTGGTCATTCCATAACTTCAATCTCCATTTCAGCTCATCAACATGATGGTTGAATAGACAAGGCCTCTGGCACTTCTGCCGAACCCAGAATACAGTAGCATGTAACGATGTAGAGTTAAACCTACTGAATCAAGTAAACAAGAACGGTGTGCCCTTCTGAACATACTGTAAGCCAGCTATGTCTGAACTACGCGATAGTCACGAAGTACTGTAAGCCTTTATTGTCACGTACTACATGTAGTATTCGTCGCAATTAAAAAGTATCCGTCGTCTTTTTCTCCTCCTATTGCCTTTTAGTCGCTTCCAGGTAGACCTCGCCATAGGCTGCCCAAAATATAGCCTGCTCGCTACCAAAGGTGTACAAGCTGCCACATTATCCCGGGGGGATATCTCACGATCATAGCTCACGACATTGATGGTCATATTTTGAAAAATGCTCCAGAAAGCCGTGGTCCCATAGCAGGGAGCTTGTGACGTACTCATTCGCGTTCTTGTATAGGCGTGCTGACATGTATGGGATCAACTTGGGCAAAAGCGGGATCGAGCTCTGAACCGCGTTTGCCTTGGTGCAATCCAGAAATGGCTTTAATCGCTCGGGATGATCACACATATGGCTGCTGCCGAGCTTGACCAAGCACTGGGTCTTGATGTTTCGGAAGACCTGGTCGTGGAAATCAATTACTGCTTGCTTGCTCTCCGGGGCGTCAAAGTACAGTAAATAGATTCTCACCAGGTGCCATCCAGCTCTATCACCACACATGTTTAATTCGTCGGTCAACACTGACATGTGCATGAACTGCAAACCGTCAATTACACTTGAATCAACAACCAAATTAATTGATCGTGTCTAATGGTCAATCTGTCTAACATATGCCCACCGATTCGTTTATTGAGCTGTCTGTGGTGACCTCTTCAATGGGCTCGAGGATCGATGTGCTTCCCGGTCACCATGCAGTATGTTTGATTGAGTGCTTTCGCCCTCATACAGGTCCTGGAGTTACCATAGCCTTTCGTCGAGCCTCTTGAAAATGATGTTACGACGATACTTGGTATTGGTCCGTCTCTACAGATTTGATTGGAATTGCGCACGGCTATTCCTGGGCAACGAATAACCTAGCCGAGTTTGTTCGGGGGGCAACATAATGTGTGACTGGTCCTCTCTCACTCCTTTCTCCACCTTGGAGTAGCGTAACATGACCCCTAGGCTATTTCACTCGAGGGAACTAGGAAATTTTTGATTACACAGATATCGATGCATACCACTATGGATGAAGCTATCCGAATGTTGACAGCATATGGGCTGGCAATATCCACTTCAGGACCAATGCAAAACCATGAACTCAACTCGCAGTTGGTGATCACTGGCTAATTCCTGATCCAGTCTCCTTGACTGAAGATACTGTATGTATGGACTCGACTTGCATGATGTTTGAGATTATCGATTTGGTCAAATATAGTACCTCTTTCTCTAGTGAAAATCCAAACCCTTGATGATAGATACCTGCGTCCTTATTTTCTTTTCCTAAAAGCCTAGGGATGCGGGATTCTTTCTTATTGACCATTTTATTATTGCTGGAATTGCACAGTGAAATGCGCGTTTATTGGAAACTACCGCGCAGATCAATTGTCATCTTGTCTTTGACCCACTCAGCAGCTTCCGTTACAGCCATATCGGGGTCATCCTTGAAATCTAGGAGGTAACTTTGGATTTCAGCTGCTGTGAACTGGTCATCTGGGACCAGCTCGGCAAACTTGATAGACAGGTCCCGAATTGACCGGTTTGACATGGCTCTAGCCGGACGATCCAGCTTCTTGGCTGGAAGGCTCGAAGTGAACCCAGCAGAACCCCCACCGATGAAAGGGTTATAGACGAGTGAAAAGATACTTTTGACACTGGCTTTATCCGCATATCCAAAGTAGTTCTTCTTATCCACTCGGCCAGGGCGAGTCAAAGAAGCGTCAAGTTTGTTTTGGGTGATTGGTTGTCACGATGAGAATCCGACCCTCCTGTGCTCCGACACCATCAAGACAATTCAAAAGGGCCGATAGTGAGACACCACTATGAACGACATTCCGGTCCTCGGAGAAGCCCGTCACTTGGTCGCTTTCGCTGACTTCACGGATAGGTTGAACAATCCCTGCGTTATCGACATCCTCGAGGAGTATTATGCAGCGGCTTGGCAGCTCCTGGAAAAGTTTAGACAGACTGTCTTCGTCGACTTTGGAACTATTCAGGCTGATGGTATAGATATCCAAACAGAGAAGCCCAGCAATCACAAAACACATGCTGGACTTCCCCGTTCCGGGGGGACCGTGAAAAAAATAACCACGGCGGTATGGTATTCCGCATGACGTATACCAGGCTTTTATCTTTGGACTGAGGAAGCTTTCAATATCAGCAAGAATCTCGCTCTTGGTATCTGGAGCGAGAGCTAAGGTTGAAAGCGGACGTGGAGGCTTTGAGGAGCTCAAGGCCCAACGGAGCATATTTTGCAACTTCAGGCCGCGATAAATTGCTACTCGATTGCCCTTGCGTTTGAGATATGCCTCCTGCGCTTCTTCCAGCAACTCCATCAAAATTTGCTTTCCCCAAGCATAAATGGTGATTGTCTCAGCGTCCATAAGCCAAGTATTGCTGAGACTCGGGCGAGGATTGCGATAGAGGCCAATTAAATGGCCTCGATAGCGGAAGACATGAAGCTGACTTTGCCCGGGGGTGCATCTAATAGGCTGGAATCCACCCTTCTTTCTCTGGCTCTGCCAGAACAATTTCTTGTCTTTCTCAAACCTCCGCTGCTCCTCAGCAGGGTCTTCGTCCTGGCTTTCTTCATCTGTGTCGTCTTCTTTCCATGGTGGGGTGAAATTGGACTTTGTCACAGCAATAGGCAATTCACAGGTCCCCAAATTACATTATCGATAGAGCTAATTCAACGTCAGAAAGCCTCTAAGTCTTGGCGTTGTGTGAGTAGTATTCGAAGGTCTCAACGGTGAATCTGGCACTCTACTTTCCCAAGCGAAAACAGTAGTACGTGTTCATAAATAGTAGATATTCTGCAATTGCGTCTATCTATCTGTCTAATGCACCAAAGCAAATCCACCGAATTTTCAATACACAGAAAGATGAAAAAGACAATATGTCCGAAGCAGATTAATATCCAGGGTATTTGAAACAGAGCTACCAAAGGTGCTCGTCATGAAGGGTAGGGACAACAAAAGAGTTCAATCGTCAGTTCCCGAAGAGACGGCCAGCTCTTCTGGGGGTCATAAACACGGACACATGATAAAGAAGGGTTCACGGTCAATGATGCAGGATTTATAATCTCTCGACAGGGAGAGGTTAGAAGAAGTCTTGGTGATAATGAGGCTGCTGCGATTGTGGACCGTACGTGTCGTGAGGGGTATAAGCTCTTATGGGAGGCGCTGGCTCACTGCTGTAGTCACTGGATGGCGAAAACGCCCTTGAGGGCGCATGAGGGGGGTAGGCGGGGGCACTTGGTGCCGGTGTACCGGTAGCAGATACCGGGGAGTTTCTAGCCGGGGGATTGAAGGGAACATAACCATCCGGTCCCCGAGATTGCAGCGACCCACTGGGGCCAGCAGGGCCAGCAGGATGGAAAGGTCTCATTGGTAAATCTTCCACAGGAGTGAAGCTTTGTGGTGGTCGATTCGTAGTGTAACTTGCGGGTGTGAATGACCGCGGAGGGTACCCAGTCTGCGGAGGTGGACGAGGAGTGGCGCCGACGCTAGGAGGATATGGTCGGGCAGGGCCATGGCCATTCGGCGAGAAAGTCGATCCAGGTGTAAATGACCGCGCATAGGGATCATCGACCGGACTGAATGAATGATACGGTGCAGGTGTTTGATCATAGGGTGAAAAGGATCCGTACTCGTCGCCTGGATCCCGGAATCCCCTAGCAGGAGTCATGCGACTCGGACCGCGGACTGGGGGTGGTGGGGCCGGTGTGTAGGCCGGCCGCGACATCGGAGTCTGGCTACGTTGAACTGGCATAGGGATCTCGCTGGGGAGAGGCGGCACGGGCGGTGCTGGCGTTGTTTGGCGATCAAGTGGGCTGTATCCCGATACTGCGGTGCTTCCTGACATCGAGGCGGCGTCGGAATATGCACTTGACTGCGTCATAGTCCGACTCAGCGGTGGCTTTTCGTCGAAGGCGGCCACGTCCGGAAGCGTAGGGTTTCGGTCTGGGGCAGCAGTCCCAGGGCGTGACGAGTATGGGGGGAGGGTGGTCTGGGTTGTGGAACGCGAGATGGTCGTGACAATTGGACCCTTATCGTCGCCGGCTCCGACGGCTGGCAAGGTAGGTTTCGTGTCCAAGGTCAGATTCGGTCGGGTGGGAGCCCGATTTTGCAACACGATCCCCTTTGATAGGGCCTTGTCAACCTTCTGTCGCACAATGCGCGTAAGCCGACTATTAATCTTGCGCCGGCAATAGGCTTTCAGCGAGCCATCCTCCGAGGGAATGTGGTGGAAGAGGAAGATGAGGTAGAGAATGATCGCAAGAGCTAATTTCAAGATAGATAGCACCCAGATGATCAGGGTGAACAGCATGCCGAAGAGAACGACAGCACGCAGGTTGTTATGTTCGGCAAGGATCTTAACGTTGTCGAAGAACTGAAAGAAGGCAGGCGAATCACTGTCACTGCTCGCATTCTCCCCTCCTGGCAGAAGGTCCATTTTCATAACCGAGTACAGTGTAATCGCATTGACGACTTGACGGGGGCCGTCGGCAAAGATGGTGTTCATCCAGGCTATCAGGCAAGTCAGCATGGCGTTTATCCCAATGCGCCCACGAGAGATGACTTACTCTCAAAAGAAAAATACGCGAACAGGGCCACATATTCGGCACCTTTTTTACTCTTTGTCAATTCGGCAAAGACAAGGAATCGCTTCCATCCGCGACCCTCTTTGCCCATGCGAATACTTTGAATTCGCACGGCAAGCGAATCAAGGTAGCTTTGCGCAATGCTACCGGATCTAATAGCTCGAATCGCCTTCAGCCAGCGCAAAACCAACAGCACAAACGAGATGATGATACAGACGGCGAAGATCCAGCGGGAAACGGTGAACGGAATGGCGGGTTCAATCTGTCCAGCCCAACGAGAGAAGGCCAACAGGTTGACCGCGGTAAAGGTGTCGACGCCGTAGACAGCCAGAGAGACCACCAAGAACACCCAAAGAAAGAAGTAGGAGAAGGGAGAGAGACAGGAGTCTGACTTGAAATCGGACAGATTCTATGGGAAGCGTCTAACGTTAGCAGGCATTCTGCAAGGAATTGGACGCTTCGATAAGCAATAACACTCACTACATAATCCCATTTCTCCTCGAGAGACACCGTTGCTCCCTTCTCACGATCTCCGCAACAGGGCATTTTGTTGCAAAAGCCCGGTGCGGCCAGCCACCGAGCGATTGGTTCAGGTATGAAACGAGGGGAGGGGGAATAGATGCGACTTCGTCGGACCAGCCGTGCGAAGTTTCAATCGCAAGGAGAACAAGGCGACAACACAAAGAAACGAGGGCGGTTGTCTCGGTTTTGTACAAGGAGGGGAGAGAAGATAAAAAAATAAAAAATAAAAAAAGAATGGCTACCACGAGTGGATCGAGTATGCTGGATCGGCGGCTACGCGCATTGATTGCGCATGGCCGTTGGACAATTTGCAAGGGGGTCAAAGAGTGAAGAATGGAAGCAAGCGAGCGACAGAGGAGCCAATCGAACAGCTTACACCAGGCGCATTGTGTCAAGAATCAAAATTGGCGTGCAGAAGGAAAGCGCGCAACGATTGTGCAACGCAGGGCTGGCGACAGATGGGGGGGTGGAAACGTGCCAAGGATCAGGGGCTTGTCGCAATTGCGGGGGTGGCCGGCGACAACGAACAAGTCAAAAGAATGTGGCTGAGGGAGAGAAAGAATATATGGAGGAATGAGTGACAGCCAGGCGGTTAGGGAGGGAGAGACGCAGCGATGAAACAGAGCCCTGGCGAGAGAGAGAAACCGAAGAAGAAGGGAGGAGAGGAGGGGAGAGACAGGACTGAAACCGAGAATGCAGGCCGGCAGGGAGCCAACCCTGGCGAATGGACGGCCATTGTGAATTATGCATTCTGATTTGATTGAATTGAAGCGATAAATGACGATCGATTGGCAGCGATGAAACACCAGGCGGCGCTTAAGCACGCGTGAACCGTCGGGGGAATGCCTCGCTTGGCTTAGCGGCCCACCCGTCCCTGTACGGAGTATACCTCGGAGTAGTGTGCCCTGTGCTGTATACTATCCTCTGTCCTCTGTCCTCTGTCCTCCGTCAAGAGGGTTGGTTCTGGTGTGAAGATGCACAATAGAACCAGACTCAAACTATCAATCTTGAATCCATTTCTGGTTTATTTAATTTCTGTATATTCTCAACCCAAGAATCCGACTGATCATCGGCAAACTGACCCGTGCCAAGGATTGCTTAATTACTGCTCCACTGACCAGCCGAGCAAACGAATGCACATTCTTATCTCGTGAGTTCAGGGTCGGCATGGATTCCTCCGTCCCAGCGAATTTTCATTTATTTTGATTGCAATGACTGACTGCAAATGATCCCAATTAATGGCGCCACTTTTGAACCCCCCCCCCCCCCCCCCCTCCCCAGTTCCCGAGTACTATGAACATACACAATCACCTGGTCTATGAGCAGTATTCCGGAGCAACACAATTTGGTCCACGTATTTCTCTATTTTTGATCCACTGTTATTCAAAAAATTCTCATCTACGAAGTCATTGGACAGTGGGGAAAACCTACACCGTTTAATGTCTGCAGAAGCCCTCCTGGGCGCCTACTTGCCGAAACTTTGGGAACCTGAAACTTGAGACCTATCGCTGATCCACCCTGGCGTCAACGTACATACGGAGTACATTAGTTTCCAGTCAGCGCAGTTTAAAGTTGCTCCCACCTTCCTGGCGAACACGTCGCCACCGCACTCCTGAACGGTCTACCGGAGCCAGCGCAAGCCTTGGGCATCAGCTACGGAGTAAGTCTCGGGAGTTATCTCCGCGCCAAGAGGGAGTCGTCCATTCAGCCATCAACTTGTAGGGCTAAAGATGAATATCGTCGGCTTCTCGAATGCCCTGATGATCAGTGTATCTCATCGCTATCATAATATGGCTCCTAAGACCATCCCGAATCATCTTTCTATAAGTTGTGGGATCAATTGCTCCCAGGAATGCACGAACAATTAATGATCCGGCATGCGCCGAGCGAAGAACCCAGTTATTTACTCCCCATCTCTTGCGATAAAAGCACCTTCGCACTCCCGAATGTGTCAAATGAGTGACCATAGGCTTAATAAACTAACTGATCGTGTGAGGATCGAATTACTGTCGGTTTTGCACCGTTGTTACCAGACCAATCGCAAATCCATTAGCAGGCACAATCCATTCATTCGCCTTGAATGGCCCTCTACCTATGAAGTTTTTTTTTTTTTTTCTCGACGATCCAAATTTCCATTCCAGACACTTGCAGTGGAAGGGACTGTCTCTAGTCATGCACATGAGTCTTATCTTCATTTAAACTCCTGCTATGGGATATCTTCTCCACCGGATTGAACGAAGGCTTTCTCAAGCCCAGTGCGGAGCATCTTGGACCTTTGACTCTACTGACCTGAGCCTCGTTATTGTTAGACCACTCTAAATGGATTTCAGTGGGAAGCAGTCCGTCGTAGATGTTGTGTGTCCGCAGGAGCGTGCAAATTGTCATTTCATCTTTGGGAACATGTCCGTTCTTGCGATGATGATAAAAGCCACTTTTCATCCGCCAGCCTTTTTAGCCAACTATTCCTATCTTTTCAGGAAAGAAGCGATGTTTTCGAATCTCCCCGTACTCTGATGTAGACTGATTAAGAATAGATAAAGACTAGACAGTCAAAAAACACTCTGTCCCTGCCAATGCCTGACCGTCCCTTCACCTTCACTTGCACTGAAAGAGAACGATCCCACAATCATTCTGCTATTCTAGGTCACTTCATTCTTATTTCTGTGTGATTTTCAAGACATCTTCGCGGACTACCGATGTCATTTCGTTTCTCAATACTCAAACAAGCCCAGATTATAGGTCAAATTCCAGGTTTTAACTAGGCGTAAGGATGTCACCCGGTACGGGTTTCTCTACTACAAGCAAGAGATTCTTTTTTCAACAGCTCCATCAACCCAATTTTACTCAGACAATATCTATACAATCGCTAGAAAACAAGAAAACAGATAGAAAATAGAAAGACAAAAAGAGAAAAGAAAAATTAAGATAGACTTCAAGAGAACAGAGACCACAAAAAAGAGAAAAGAAACAGAAAACAACCGAGAGCAACCGAGAACAAGCGACGAATTACAGGAAATAGTAAGAATATATAATTTTTCTCCTCTTTCTCAACTCGAATCGGCGGACGGACGCATGGAAACACGCAAGGAAAGCCGGGGACAAGAGGATCATTTCTACAAACCAGCGGACACACATGCAGCCACATAATCAGGTGTGGCTACGGAAGTGCCAGCTGGGAGTCATGATCAACTCTCAGCGCCAGGGGGGCAGGGGGGCCAGGGAGCAGGTCGAAAGCCGTGCAGGGTCACAAGATGAACGCGGGATCCCAGGAAATCTATCTCGAGACCCCTTCAAACCCGTTGCCATTACTGGCCGGACTCGAAGAGGGAGAACAAATCCTGTCGAAGGATCAGAAGGGCTAGCGACGTCTCCCATTCGAGCGACTGAATGGGGACGCGCCCACGGGGGTTGTTGCGTTGGACAGGGTGACTCGGAGCCTTGTGATTTCGGCGTCCATTGCCTTAACCCTCGTGTCCGATGCAATCTGGGCCTCCGTCTTCTGATTCCTCTCCGCGTCCACTTGGGCCCTGAGGCGCCGGATGAGGTCATCCTTGGCCTGGTCGGATGTCTCGACGGCCATGCGGTTGGCCTGGTCGCGAAGAGTCTCGTTCTCAATCCGCAACTTGGCGACCTCTACCTGGCTCTGCTCGAGGGCCGTGGTGACAGACCCCATGCCTTTTGCGCGGCGCTTTTGGGGAGTCGTCTCCGACAGCCGCGCAGCCTCCTCCTGTTCCCTCAGGCGGCGTCTGAGGAGCCCGACCACGGTTTCGAGGCGCGCGATCTCCTGCAGGCACTGGCTCTTCTCGTGCTGTACGTTGAAGAGCTGGCCCTCAAGGAGGTCGACCTGGTCGGCGCTTTGTTCGGTCAGCCCCTCACATTCGACGACTCGTGCCTTGGCAGTCTCGAGGGCGGCCTCTACATCGGCAAGGTGCCTGTCGCGGTCCGCCGTAAAGGTGTCGAGAGCTGCACGGCAATTTTCGTCGACTCCTGCCGCCCAAGCGAGCACCCCCTTATACAGCACCTCCTGACCGGCGATCTCGGACTGCAACGCCCTCTTCTCAGCCTCTAGGCACTTGACCTCGCCGTCCTGGCGCACGCACCGCTGGTTGGCGGCATCGAGCTGCTGGGCTAACGAAGATTCATTGTGGAAGGCGTTTAGCAGTTCGATTTCCACCAGGAGTCCGTCCCTTTCCTTGTCGAGGGTCGCGTATCTGGATTCGAGTTCATTGTGGCGGGAAACGAGCTCATTATAGTTTTGCTCGAGCTGCGTATCAACCTGCACACGTTGGCCATACAGACTTTCCAGATCCCTGAAGCGTTGCATGCGGTGAATGAGATCTCTGTTCTGTTCCGCGAGACGATCTTTGAGCGAAATGATCTCGCTCACGGCATTCGCGTACTTGGTATCTGCATGTGCCATTACCTCGAGTTTCTGACGTTCCAGCTCGGCTTTGGCAGTTCGATAGCCCTGTAACTCGTCCTCCATGCGACCCTCCTTGATTTCCAGCAGTCTGATTCTGCGGGAGAGAAATTCCCGATCCGTGTTGGCGTCCACCAATTCCTCCTCAGCCTTCTTGAGCTGGGCATTCTTCTTCTCGACCTGCTCGACCAAAACTGAACGAGTGAGGTCACGCTGCCGAGGTTCGACTTTCGAGGCATAAGATGTTTCCTCGAGCGGAACTCGCTGCGCAGACAGCGTGCTGAAGAACGCCCCGTACACTTCCCGTTGCTCCGTTACGCGATGCTTCGCGGCGTCGGCTGCGATGCGCTCCTCTTGGGCTTTGATCGTCTTCTTGTAGCCTTCACACTCGCTAGTGTGGGTTTTGATCAAAGCCTCCAGCTTCGTTTGCATCTTAGCCTCGAGTTGACGCCCGCGCTCAAGTACGGCAGGGTCCTCCTTGGTTTGTGTTTCCTGGTCGACGCAGTTCGCTGCCGGGGCCTGAACCACATGTTCCGGCGTGGAGGTTTGTTCGGCAGCGACGGTCTGAGAGAGAGCGCAGTACATCCAGGCGATGACACAAACAAGGGCGAGAACAATAACGGGAAGAACAGGCCACTCATCCTGATGACCTTCGAACTGCTCCGGGCTCCAATCAATAGCCCCGTCCAGTCTCACACCCAGGTCACGCCCGAAGCAGTAGAACTCCGACAACCATCGACCCCGGCCAGATGGCAGGTAGAAGAGATTCCGGGGCGAGAAAGAGCAGTACACCCCCATGTCCCACTGCGTGGAGAACAAACCAGCGGTGAAGCCAGACAGAAGTTGTCCTCCACAAAGGAACAGGCCGATGCACGCGACCACGACGGAGGATCCCAGCGCCATCAATCTAATGATCATGACCAGGGGGGTAGGGGTAGAGTGCAACCACACGATTGCCTCGAAGGCGACCCGGTACAAGAGACGGCAGTTCGTCGACTGCTTCAACTTCTCAAGGGTGAGGCACATCTTGCAGCGGAGCCCTTGGTAAGAGCGTACGACAGAGAGCTGTTTGGCCAGCCACTTGAAACCGAGCACCATGGAGGAGAGCTTGTTGACTCCAGCCATAATCCAAGGAGAAATGTCATTCCAGAAACCGATAAGGAAACCCAGCATTATGACCACCGCGAAGACTATACCAGAACAGATTGACAGCTCAACAAAGTCCATATCTGGGAAGAACATGGGTCCGGTGAAATGAGCAAGGTTGAGCAGGTCTTGGGTGAATTCAGGCGCTTCGTAGTCCCCTTCTAGTTTCGACAGGAGACTCGGATAGAAGAGGGCAAAAAGCTATTCCTCGTCAGACAACAGAAGCCTTGCATGCCTCCAGACAACTTACGACAAAGAGAAGAAGTTGGAAGTAGTTCGGGCGAGCCTGGTCGGTATCGTCGAACCAATTCATGTTGTTCGAGAGACGATGGCCTTTCACTGGTTAGACAAAATTCATCCATGACTTTGGACAGCTTATTGATTGAATCATTTTGTGAGGAGAAGTCAGGCGTGTTTGTTTGTGTGGGTTTCTGTCGCTCGGGACAAACTAGATAAGGTTGCAAAGAAGGTGAAGACCTTCTGGTTGTTAGACAGAGACCTTGCATGACTCCTGGCAACTTACTAATTGAATCAGTTCTTGGGGGGTAGAGCAGGTGTGTATCTGCAAATGAAGCTTCCGTAGATGCTTGAAAGTACGTCAAGATAGATGGATGTTTAGAGAGAATACCTTGGAGATGAAGGCTTGAGATGAAAAGAGAGATAGTGGTTGAGGAAGAGAGTTTGTTCGGGAAGAAGAGGGAGGAAGTGAGGAAGGTAAACAGGGGAAGGAAATGGGAGAAGCGAAAAGATGTTTGATTTTCACTACTTTTGAAGTAGTGAATGGTTTGCTTCAGAGCAGGTTGGATGTTTTCCGCTGAGGAACTAAGTCTGCAGTTCTGGGGATGAAAGTCCTCCTTTTATGTTGAAGGCGAGGAAGGCTCCAGGACAATTTACCGGAAGTTCCCAGTTCGAGATGAATCTTCCTGTCTGGAGGAACCTGGTGACAGCTGCAGTCACCGCGATGTCCCACTATAGATTTCCCTGCGCTGTGATTGGGTCAACAGTGAATCGTCCTTCCAGAAGAAGCCTGCAGGCTGGGGAAGTTCCGGTATCCTATGCCTTCGTACGAGACTGATCCCCTGGCGTAATGTTTCTTCCAATGTTGACAGATATTCTGCAGCATCGCCATGGTCGCTACTACCAGGCCCGAAGGCGGAGTGGCTCATCCTGGCCTTCACGATCTTTTTTCTTGAAATTTGTCTTTGTCTTGTGACTACAAAGATAGAGGAGCTATCCCAAAAGATACACGACCTACGTTGAGTGAATATCACTTTGAGTGAATAGATTTCGTTGGATTCAACATGGTTTTTGGTTATAGCTCGACGTCAGACTATACTCTGAAAGCCCGCAGATACAACGACTCTTTTATTCGGAGGATAAGAGAGGCACTACGGTAGAAAAAAGTTATGGAGTAGGGGATCGTGCCAACTTCACAGATAAGTTCTGACTCTAATCTCTTTCAATGCTATCCACCAGCCAATGTACATATGTCTAGAGCTAACAGTATACCATCTCATACACAGAAAGACAATAAACAGACCTAGCCTCCGATCCAGGAAACTCCTAGTACTGCATGGTTCATAGAAAGATCTAGTACTGCTCGCATACGTTCGATTAGCCCCGGCACAGACCCTTGCCAAATATTTATACTATGGAAGACCATCTTTGAGGGAACTGGCGGGCCAGTCTACGTCAGGAACGACAAGCCGATTTCGTTTCCGTTGTGGCTAATTGTTATGCGCCTTCGGATACCGGCAGAGCAGGGACGAGGTCGGTTGTGGCTTTGGGGCTTTCTGCGGTCATCTAGATAATCTCTTCGCTTGTTACACTGCATGAACCATAGTGGAGACTAGATACATAGAAGTATCATTGCCAAGGAAGATACTCCATTGCGATACTATATATTTCTCTCATGCAACCGAGTTCTACTGCCGTACTCTAAATAGTTTAGATGACCGTCTGATTTATGTTCCCATCGTTTATACGAGGGATTTGGCTTCTTAGTAGCATCATCCCGATATCAGACCGTCCTGTTTATTGCAAGCCTTTTATCCGCAGAAGACAAGGAGGTTAACCCGATCTATTTCGTGATCCGCTCGAAGAAACGATCGGCACTGGACAGAAAAATATCTCAGGCTAGCCTTACGCGGTGCTAACCTGACAGCCTAGCGACAATGCCACTAGAATGAACCGAGGGCTTTTTCTCATATGAGAATGGGTCTCAGAAAAAGGCTTCTTACGAGTACGAGGCATAGCGTGCACTATTTCGCGGAGGATGTGCCCGTATTATCTATTGGGCACTCTGTGGGGAGGAGTCAATTGTTCGGGAAAAGAAGAACAGGAGACAGTAAAGTGGAACCAGAATGATGGGGAAGATCCATGATCCTCGTTGGGGTTTCCTAGCTAGTTGATGAAACAATCGGATTGTCATGTAAAAGGGGCTGTCGGCTAAGTCGCACAGTTGTCATTCCAACTAACGTTTCCAGTTTCCACGGCCCGTCCGCTTGTCAGATTGAAGATTCTGTCGAGAAGGGACCGGTCCTTAGGGCAGGCCTGGTCGATAGAAAGAGGGTCCTACTCAGTACACCTAGAGTGGACGGAGGCAGACGACGGGACAACGGCCAGGGGATGTTTGGTTAATAAAATATTTATAGCGATGCCAAGACTTCTCAGGCCATCCAATGTCAACCTTTAATTTCAGGTGTCACCAGCCCTGCAAGGCGGGCGCTGATTGGGTGGGACGGGCGCTGGGGGTGCCTTCCCTTTTTGGGGGCAGACACCTACCGAAACAGGCAGGTCTACATTCGATCAGTCAAACCAGTCAAACCAGTCAAACATCTTTCCTGTCAATTACCTCATTTCCTCAGCGACCTCCTCTCCAGACTCCTAAGCACCCGTCTTCTTCATCGTCTCTTGGCCCTTCAGCCTCCTTTCTTATCTTATTCAGTGTTATTTGGCCCTTTTTTGTTGACTTCTTTATTATATTTTTTGTCCTAATCAACCACTTAAATCAAATAATCAATCTGAAATCTATCTGCTTACCTGCCTCGCCATCCGCCCCACCTCCTAGTGTTGCTTGGCTTCCGATCGCGACTGGGCGCGGCACACCCCTTTACCCTGGAATCGTTCAGCCCAGGTTTACCCGCAGATTGTCAATAGCCAGTCCGACTAGGGACAAATAAATATGTCCCCCATCTAACCCGCTGCCTCCCACTCATTCTTCTTCTTCTCCCTCGCCGCCCCGCCCACTGCTGATGGCTACAAGTTCGGCCATCCGTCTCCTGGCCCTCCGGCCGGCTGTCCACGGTTTAGGAAAATTGTTCCTTTTTGCTCTCGCACAACTACCTCTCATCGCCGGCGCTCCGACCGTTCCTTACCTCAAACGCTCCGAAGAAGTCCACGCATTATCCCCCAGCGATCCGAGTCTATGGCTGTATCTCGGTGTGGCCGCCGCGCTCGTCTTGACCGGCGGCGCATTTGCCGGTCTGACCATCGCCTTGATGGGCCAGGTATGTCCGCCACCGGCAAACCAGGCAGCACCTATTAATTCTCGGCTAATTCCCGGCGATAGGATGAGGTCTATCTACAGGTCATTCAGACGTCCGGTGAAGGCGCAGAGCGAAAAAATGCAGCCAGCGTGTTGAAATTGCTAAAACGGGGGAAACACTGGGTTCTAGTGACTCTCCTGCTCAGTAACGTCATCACCAACGAGACCCTCCCCATCATTCTGGACCGATCGCTTGGCGGGGGGTGGCCTGCGGTTCTCGGCAGTACAGTCCTCATTGGTAACAATGCACCTTCCCCTCCTTTCGTTTATATTATGAGCGAATTTTTGACTGACCTGTCGGTCGGCGTCTAGTGATTTTCGGCGAGATCGTCCCCCAGTCCATCTGCGTTCGGTATGGCCTTCCCATCGGTGCTTGGATGGCCCCTTGTGTTCTGGCCTTGATGTACCTAATGTCACCCGTGGCGTGGCCCGTCGCCAAATTACTCGACCGCCTGTTGGGTGAGGATCACGGTACTATCTACAAAAAGGCGGGTCTGAAGACCCTGGTAACGCTCCATAAGACTCTGGGAGAAGCGGGCGAGCAGCTCAACTCCGATGAAGTCACCATCATCAGTGCTGTCTTGGATCTGAAGGATAAGGCTGTTGGTGCCATCATGACTCCGATGGAGGATGTTTTCACCATGTCTGCCGATACCGTCCTCGATGAAGAGACGATGGATTTGATCCTCTCCCAGGGATATTCCCGCATACCCATCCATGCTCCGGATAGCCCCCTCAACTTTGTCGGCATGCTTCTCGTCAAAATGTTGATCACTTACGATCCCGAAGATTGCAAACGGGTCCGCGACTTCGCCTTGGCCACGCTCCCCGAGACCCGCCCCGAAACCAGCTGCTTGGATATCGTCAACTTCTTCCAGGAGGGTAAATCTCACATGGTACTGGTTTCGGAATACCCCGGCGAGGACCGAGGCGCCTTGGGCGTGATTACACTAGAGGATGTGATTGAGGAACTGATCGGCGAGTATGTGCCATGCAGATTTCCTACGGATTAACTATATTGTGATGCTAACACCAACAATAGGGAAATTATCGATGAATCGGATGTTTTCGTTGATGTTCACAAAGCCATTCGGCGTATGACACCTGCTCCGAAATCCCGCGTGCCCAAGGGTAGAATAGTGGAAGATCCACCCATGCTGTCGAGTCTGCCCGCTCAAGGTACCTTGGTCGACATCGGGGCTGAAGGTCGGGGACGAAGACAGTCGGAGGGACGACGAAGCTCGGTGGAAGCCCCATTACCACGGTTCCAGCTCCGTAGGCAACAGTTGGACAAAGGCGCGGATTCGCCCGAATGGGTCACTCAAAGGGGCACCACGGATGAGATTCGCGAACATTTGAAGCATCTTGGGCCTTCCAATTTGGCCAGTCGGCCCCGTCACACCCGGTATCAGAGCGTGAAGATAAAGCGAGCCGGTGGTTCACCGACTCGGTCGGGACAGACGGATGACGATTCGGCCCTGAGCACTTCCGGGTCTGGACATCGTCGTGCCTCTTCGCTCGGCTTACCTGGTACCAGTGGTGGCATTGGTGCCGGGCTACTCCAATCAGGCGGCTTGGACGCTCGTGATGGCGCGCATGCACTACGTCTCGGATACGACACCATGTCGCACCCCCCAGCAACGGACACCGCAACTCAGACGAAGGATGGGTCAGCGATCTCCATCCCGGAAGCCGTCCGTGAAGAGCAGGATGAATATGGACGCTCTGCTGGGTCAAGTGCAGCGATTAGCATTTGGTCATCCGACTCACGGTCCCGAGACCGCCTAAAGCCGGCCAGTTATCAACACCAAGGACCCGCCCGGAGTGGCAGTATCACCGAGCAGGTGGTCGATGTCAACGGAATCCGTAAAGTGGTCCTGCACACGACGAGCACGAGTTCCTCCGACGATGAATATGGAGGCAAATTCCCAGTGCGCCAAGATGGACAGGTCCATGACCTTAATAATGATACCGAGATGACGAATACCAATGGACAGAAGAAACGCCGTCGGCGACACAAGCGGGGCAAAGCTTCGAAGGGATCGCGAGATGATCAAGAAGAATCGGCGCTTCTGTTGCCACAATGACCTTAAGCCCAGGCTCTCATGCTCTTTCTCTGCCGGTCAGACAGGGCACACTTCAATTCTACGCACGGGAGCGTCTCAGATTGTATGATTTGTTTTGTGGAGACGTTTGGACGTGCCCTTTCTCTCTATCATTTTGTGGAGACATAATTCCCACCTAGCATAGCCTGTATAATACATCGTTGTTCTTGTTCTGCTATTTGATGGGTTTAATATACAATGTCTCCCTGGTATCAGCATAGCAGTAGTTATCCGAAATATTCAGCCTTACAGCCCTACAGTCGGTCTGTCGGTGAATCTACTGTCAAAGCCTCTGATCATCTCCAGTTCTTTCAAAGGCTAGGCATGGTTAAGTGTGCGGTTCACTCCCAAAGGTGTTTCTCAGGACTCTATAGTGAGTGCTACGCATTCTCCCAGTCATGTAATGCTCAGTATAAGAACTCTACCGAATCAGTATATTCTTTCAAATTTCATTCAAATCAAACTTTTTTATGTATCATGCCGTCAATATCTACGTGTCGTTAAACCATTCATTAACTCCGCGAAAAATATAAACATCAAAACGTTAAAAGAAAAGCAGATGCATTGTGTATGTGTATGTGTAATGCCGAGCAGAAAAAAGGATATCAATCGTCTTAAGAGAAGAAGGTGCAAATCGCCGCGATGAGATCATTGCAGGAGGGGATCCTAGAGTAGTATTATGTTAGTTGGTTGTTCATTGTAGGGGTGGGTTGTTAAATGGGAAAGAGGGTTGCAGGAATAGAAAGGGAACCATACCCGGAAATGCTTTTGGTGATTGGCAGCGCGTTGCACCCAAGCCGTAACTCTCTGTTCCTGCCGAATGGCTCGGGTTCGTTCCTTTTTCTCCGACGCAGCAGCGATCTGCTTCTGGGTGTCCGTGGCGCCGACCATACCGGCACCACCGTTGGCACGGCTGATGACGGCACGGTTGAGGTTGCGGCCTCGCGGCTTGGGCTGGTCCTCCTCGATCTCGCCGTTCTCAATGGCCAGCTGGCGCTCGGCGCGTTCCTCGGCGGTGGGGTAGTTGTGCAGGTTCTGGCGGTAGTAGCGGGCGAGGGAGCGGTGGCCGACGCTGCGGCCGGAGGGCAGGTGCATCTCGTAGTCGGTCTTGTAGACGACGGGGGCGTTCTTGGGCAGCACGTCGTCGCCGTCCACGGAGGAGGCCGAGTCCTCGGTCTCCCAGCCTTCTTCCTCGCCGACGACCTTGACGCCACCGGCACCCTCTTCGACCATCTCCTCGTCCTCGTCTTCATCCTCCCACTCTTCGTCGTCGGAGTAAGTGCTGCGGAAGTCGTAGAACTGGCCGATCTCGATCTGCTCGTCCTCGGTCTCGAAGGCGATCATGCAGTGGCCCTTGTCGCGCATGTGGGTGCGGATGCCGGAGGGGCTGTTCTTGATGGAATGGCAGTAGAGACACTCGCTGTTCTCGTTGATCTTACGGTGCAGGTAATGCAGGAGACCCTCCATGTTGACGAGGTAGTCCTTCTCGGGGATGAACATGCCGTGGGTCTTAAGCATGTGGTCAGCGTTCTCCTGCATATCGGCAGACTTGACGGGGCAGAAGAGGCAGCGGGCGGGCGAGAAGACGCCGTCGTCGGCCGACTCGTCCATCGCGTCCTCGTCCTCGTCCTCCTTGATTGTGGTGGCGTCGATGCCCTGCGTGATCTTCGACACCTCTGTCTGTTCGCGCGGTTTGTTGATCGGCTCGCCGAGCGAGAACGTCGAGCTCATGACGGATGAGGCATCGTCGGCGTTGTTGCGGCTGAATTGCGCCTGGCGCGATCGGTGCTTCGAGCTCTTGAGGTGGTTCTGGTACGAGTTCTCGCTGTAGAAGGTCTTCTGGCAGGCGGTGCAGCTCTTTTCGAACGAGGCCTTGGCGGCGGCGGCGGTGGAAGTCGCCTTGGCGGCGAGGACTTTCTCGTTGAACGTTTCCTGGGCTACGGGGGGGAGGGAGGCGATCCGACGTTTCATGTTATACAGACTGTTGCGAGAGGGATAGGTGAGCCATTGTCACTGCCTAGAAGGAAAAAACAAAAAGCAAACCACTTACTGCCAGTCTCCGCGCATATGATTCCGCTGGGCATCGCTGCCGCGGAAAGCAACCAGACAGGCGTTGCAGGTGTAAGGAAGAGAGGAGGCCGGAGCGCTGGGGTCGAGGGATGCCATATTGTAAAGATTTTTGCAGCGAATCTGATGCTGAAACTCGGGAATATTGAGGGTATCACGGATTAAATCAAAAATCGCCAAAAAAGCGGCGCTCGGTTGTGTGCGATAAATCTCGGGCGGGGCGGATGTGCTCAGTCTTCCAAATACTAAGATGATGAGATGTAGGAGTAAAGAGTCACAGTCAGCGACAAAATGGAAGGAGAGAGAACAGCAATAAGAAGTAATGCTGATTGCTAATAAGGTTGTAAGGTCACTGCCCCTCGATCACAAAAGACTCAAATCACATGAGTAAGCCGATCACTAAGCGGAGTCTTGCCGCTTTAAGCCACTTTGTGACGTTCTTTCACGTGCCCCGCTCTAGTCCTTTTCGAGAATGTTCCAACCTGATGGGGTACTCTACTAAATATGGCTATGCTGTGGTGTATGGAATAGATGTCTCCTTGAAACAACCTGGGGCTTGTCTTGTCGAAGTTCAATACTTTATCCCACTGACTGTCATGCAGATCTTTCGAAATAATGGACTTCAGCCTATTGAAGCAATGTATATCTTTCAAAAAGGTTGTCCCTTACTTGAAACCCCATTGTTGCATGTCTCTAGGTTTGCCAATGAAGCTACCAGAGACATTTTTTGATGTGTATTTGCGATAAAGTTGCAGCTTACCGAGTATTAGAGATACTCCTGGCCTTTGGAGTAAGATCAAAGACTGTAATGGTAGTATAATTAATTCTCACCATGTGTGGAGATATATAGAATTGCCGATGGACCTTCGTTGGGCCAATGGCTTGGTCCTTCTGAGGTGCAAGCCATGCTCGGTAGACTCCTGTTCAGGTGTGTTTCTATGACACCTGCTGTGACTAGGCAGCAGTAATTCAGAAATTGTACAGTACATATCGCAGATAGCCTTCTACTACAGAGTACTGATAGGGCCTGGAAGGCTGATGGTGTTGTGGCCCGTGTCCCACGCTAGTCTACCTTTGGTATACACTAACCATATATCATCTCGGAACAGCCATTCTTCCGTGATATCTGTCTTAGTCAGGATACCAGGGTCTTGGCGCCTGAGGCCACTTCTGGCGGTCTTCCGCATGATATCAGCTTAGCCCCGGAAAGTACAAATCACCCACCACCCTCACCTCTGTTTCGATTTGCAGTTCCAGATTCTGGCCGGAATATTCAGCTCCCAGATCGGCCATCCTGACTGGGGCCAAGTAATGCTTCCCAGTCCGCGAAAATGACCAGGCTCCGCGGAGCTTCTGTGAGCTCGTATGAGACCTCCCGTGGGAGCATTGACAGGCCTCAACACCGCTCTAAATTACCCCCGAACGCCCCGGAGATCATCGCTCAGAATACAGTGGATGTGTCGGATCCTTCACAGGTGTTACTTTGGTATAAAGATGAGCGACGGCGACATTTTAATCTCTTGGTTCGCAGGTTAGTACTGCACTTCGACCGAATATGAATATAGGTCCCCTCCTTCTAAGGCGAACCGACGGCTAAGTTCTATCTGGAAAGGTACAAGAATCAACTCCTCTACGGATGTCAGGATCCCGGATGTCAGACCGCGACCTGCGCGAGCTATCGCAGGAGGGTCACGGAAGGACCGTTTCGCCGTTACACCGAACTGAGTGCCCGCACGTTGGCTTGCTATCTGGCGAGTCTGGACAACGCAGAGAGCGGTCTCTGTCGCAATAGTCCTCGCGTCCCATCGGACCTCTCCTCGCAGGATTTCCACCAACGCCGATCGAAACGCCGCACTCGTGCGCTTCCTACGAACGATACATCTCGAGACCGCAGCGGGTCATCAGCAGCGGGTCACAGTGTTCAGAACGGGACTTTGCCACAAACGTCGTCAACTCGGAATGCGGATCCGTCAGGTGCGAAGAGTAGTGTCTCGCGAAATTCCTCTGAGTTCGAGCTACAAAAACATGGCGAATACTTGCCACTTGATGAGAACGGGACGATCCAGCAGATGAAAGATCCGAAGTCGTTCACGCAGAATCTTTTCGACACACTTTCACTGAGGATGATCGAATGGCTGCCTTTGCGACGATCCCCGAGCAGTATTTGTCCCGAGCAAGATCAAACAAGCGCTCGTACTGCTGCGCGATCGCCCAAGCCGGACATTCGCCAAGCCCAGGTCCAATCAGACACCGAGAAACAATCTAAAGGTCGCGATCGTCCGTCCCAGTATCACGCATTACCAGGAGGACATCCTCACACTCCGTCCTCCCGGGCTACAGGAAATCAAGCTGCTGCGGTGGAAGTGAGAATGGCAAATCAACAGTTTAAGCGGCGTTCGCTAACCGAGATGGACCAGTGGCGCCAGTGCCCGCGATCGAGTCTAGAGGATAAAACTCTCACTGAACTCAAACCGGCTCGCAAACTCTCTTTCAATACACATACATCCACCGATGAGTCTGCCAATATCCCCTCCCCGCCAGCGCTGAAACATCGCCCACAGAAGCACCGAGGTCGTACGGGCGACGCGTCTGGTGGGACTTCGCTTGAGCAACGAAAAAAAGAAAGACGTGTCTCTTGGGACGGGGCGAAGTTACTGAACGATGCCCAGTATTATGACGCGCAGAAACCCACCGCTGCTATAGCAGAGCGGCAGCGTGCGGTGGAGGAGGAAGAGGCTCAGTCTCCGAGCGAGCACAAACCACGGCGCAAAGGGATTCATCCGAAGCGAGAGTTCTCCACAATTCAATCCGTCACGCATCTCACTGGTGAGATTATCGATGGGTTGAGGCAACTGATGGTGCTCTCCGAGGATGATGCGGAGAGATGGAAAGACGAACTCGCTTACATAGAGTCT